AAACCATAAATTCGCAGGTTACAGTAATTTTAGATGTACTTCTTCCAAATTCCCCCATATTTTTTTTTACATCCTGTTTCTGGACACTTTGGAACAAATTATCCCAAACAGGGGAAAGGAATTTAATTTATACAATGCTGCCCTCTAGTGGGGATAATAACCAAGCGTAAGGCCCCCCCAAAAAAGAGTCCTATGAAATTGAAGGCTTGTATCTTGTAATATAGGCCTACAGAAATTAATTAAAGTTGCTGCAAGTGCATACAAACAACATGAACTATGTCAAACAGGCTGTAAAAATGAAGCTTTGCTAATAAAGTTCCCCCTCTCTGAAATTAAATACCCTATTTAATTTTTTTGAAAGCTCCGGAGGCATGCAGAGGCCAAACTGAGCTCTGTACCGCCAAACTGAGCTCTGTACCGCCAAACTGAGCTCCGTACCGCCAACTTTTGTAACAATGTGGAGGGCTCTATAGCTCCGCATTGACATGATTGGTTGATGGTAGGTAGGGGCGGGAGGTCCTGTATAAACACAAACTCACTTCCTTGACAACTTCCTTCACAACAGCTCTACTCAACAGTTATGCGCTGCTCCATGAAGCGCAAGAAGTATGAATGCCATTGACTTCTGCAGAGGCTGTATCACTGTAAATGCTGCACGGCCACTGCAGACCTCCGTTTGACCACGCAGCGCCGATTGACCACGCAAACTCCCTTAAAAGACCATAGCTTGAAAAACGAGAAAACAGGGCAATAGTACTGTTTGTCCATTTTGAGACGCCGTAGCCAGTATACGCTTCCTCAAAATAGTCAGAATGAATCTACACTGAACAAAAAAATTAATGCAACATGTAAAGTGTTGGTCACATGTTTCATGAGCTGAAATAAAAAAAATCACAAGAGTATTTCTGTATTTATTTCGAGTATTTCTGACTGTAATGAAGCCATTTTTTGGGGAAAAACTCATTGGCTGGGCCTGGCTCCCCAGTGGGTGGGCCTGGCTGCCAAGTGGGTGGGCCTATGCCGTCCAAGGCCCACATATGGCTGCACCTCTGACCAGTCATGGGAAATCCATACTACGGCCTAATGAATGTATTTAAATTGACTGATTTCCTTATATGAACTGTAACTCAGTAAAATCTTTGAAATTGTTGCACGTTGCGTTTATATTTTTGTTCAGTATAAGATAACTCAAGAAGTCTGTCATTAATTTTGCCGAAGAGATCTTAGTCGCGCAATTTTACATCTAACTAAGCTGTTTGGTGCAGTATTTCTCAATGAAAAAATGTGCATGAAAACGAGTCGTCTCTCGTTGAATGACAACAAATACTTTATTGTTGAATCCCTACTGTGGCTCCGAACTTCGGCTTTCCTCCAGAAAAAATGGTGTGTCCTAAAAGCCGGAAAAACCCTCACCGAAGTCCAAAACGAACAAAAACGTCACAAAATGTCGTCATAACATATGCACGGACTCTTCCGAACGGCTGGGAAGCATATGGATGCCTTTAGCCGACAACATAAGGAAACCAATGCGCACGCTTCAATGGGGCAGGACACTGTGTGTTGTTGTGATTCTGGATGGCCAGATAGCTAGCAACAATGACAAGAAGCTGCCATGTGGGGAATCGTAGGTGGCTCGTTTCAGCCCAGTTTGATCTTGTTCTTGATACCATGTTTTGTTTTGACTGATGTCACGTTATGCTAATATGGCTAAAGTTCAATAGCTAGCTAGCTAACCAACCACACCCGTCGCTATGGGCGGGCCATAGGGGGCCGGGCCCGCCCCCCAAAATGCTTGTGCCCCCCCCCCCCACTTGAGGGAATGTATTATTAAATATACGTGCCCTGCCCTCCCATGCATTTCATATGCCCCCCTTAAGACTGAGGTCTGGCGAGGGGTCTGTAACCAACAACTGTAAATATCTATTTGAGAGACAGCAAGTGCTCATTGTGCAAATGTATTTATGTTTCAATAAACATTGGAGATGAAATATTATTTAGATGTTGTCAACAATCTAAGCCAACCCCATCTGTTTTGCCCCATAGTTGCGCACACATCGGTTTTGTTGCTAAACACCCAACCTGTCTATTAGTAATAATTACATTTGGTTGAATGGTATGGTAATATCCCTGAACATAATGGCTAGGACTGTATTATGTCCAATCAATCAATCAAATGTATTTATAAAGCCCTTTTTACATCAGTAGATGTCACAAAGTGCTATACAGAAACCCAGCCTAAAAACCCAAACAGCAAGCAATGCAGATGTAGAAGCAAGGTGGCCAGTCCCCTTCTGGCTGTGCCCGGTGGAGATTATAACAGTACATGGCCATTAAGGCCAGATTTTTCTCCAAGATGTTAAAACATTCATAGATTACCAGCAGGGTCAAATAATAATCACAGTGTCAGTACATCAGGAGTAAATGTCACTTAGCTTTTCATAGCCGGGCATTTAGAGGTTGAAATGCAGGTGCGGTAGAGAGAGAGAGTTGAAAACAGCAGGTCTGGGACAAGGTAGCACGTCCGGTGAACAGGTCAGGGTTCCATAGCCGCAGGCAGAAGAGTTGAAACTGGAGCAGCAGCACGACCAGGTGGACTGGGGACAGCAAGGAGTCATCAGGCCAGGAAGTCCTGAGGCATGGTCCTAGAGCTCAGGTCCTCCGGGAGGGGAGGGAGAGAGGGAGAGAGAATTAGAGGGAGCATACCTAAATTCACACAGGACACCAGATAAGACAGGAGAATAACACCAGATATAACAGACTGACCCTAGCCCCCCGGCACATAGACTATTGCAGCATAGACACTGGAGGCTGAGACAAGGGGGGTCGGGAGACACTGTGGCCCCGTCCGACGATACCCCCGGACAGGGCCAACCAGGCAGGATATAACCCCACCCACTTTGCCAAAGCACAGCCCCCACACCACCAGAGGGATATCAACAGACCACCAACCTACTACCCTGAGACAAGGCTGAGTATAGCCCACTAAGATCTCCTCCACTGCACGAGCCTGAGGGGGCGACAAAATGTCCTTACAGTAATTTATTAAATGACATTTTACATTTGAGTTATTTTTTATTTTTTAAAATGTTTTAGTCATTTAGCAGACGCTCTTATCCAGAGCGACTTACAGTTAGTGAGTGCATACATTTTTCATGACAAGACCAAAAACTATAATATTTAGAATGCAAAGAGCATAAACATTTTATTAAACGGTAAGCAGATACTTTTTTGCAATGAAGGAATTATGTAAAGTTTCTAATTTGTTCAACACAAATTAGATCAAAAGCTCTGATTCTTCTATAGTGGTCCTTTTCTATACCACAAATGCTTTCCCAACAGGATTGTCAACGCCACCCCAGCCTGTAAATGACAAAGTGCCCTCTGTGTCTATTCCCCATACAGCCTGGAGGAGAGGGTCACAGCTCACAGCAGGCCATATTATCCTGCTACTGCTCACACAGAGAGGATGGAAAATGTCACAAACTTTGCACATTGTATAGATTCGATTTGTAATTTGTAATGGGGAAATGTGTGTTTTTGGCAACCCCTTTCTAGGTAACCATCTCTGATACATCTTATACATATGTTTCTGTTAAATGAGATGTAAGTGCATCTGGTAACCCATTTATCAATTTGTGTCTTTATTAAGTCCTTTACAGGATGTCTATGTAATATCTCTTCCAGTCACTAGTAACAGATTATAGATTTAGTAAAACCATATAACCAACGCGGATATGATTATCCATTTGTGTTCTTCAAAGTAAAAGCGACACCAATATCTTATTTTCCTGGGGCGTCTGCCTCTGTAACGTCATTTCTCAGGCTAAATACAGAGCATGGAACACGGCAGCTAATCAGCTTCCAACGTGAGTGTCCCATGGTTGCTAAGCAGCTGCTGCTGTGCTGTAATTCTATCAAATGAGAGAGCTGCAGGGGTTCGGAAGAGAGGCAATAAGAAATCATCATAAAACGCGGAGGGGACCAATGATCCAGTGACACCATTTTCCTGCATATTAAGCAGTGAAAAGGAAAACACTACTCAGCACTCAAGGGGAGTAGAGTGGTGTGAGGGCTGGGCAACCATGGGTAACTTGCCTGTCTTGAACCTAACAATCACAATTAGCCTACGTTTATAGTGGAGAACAAGCCTCCGCTTCGGTGATCTCTGAGGGTTGTAGCCATTTTCACTCGTACCCATATACCACTTGAACATTGCAGATTTGGGGACTGATAAACGCATACATTGGAACGCAGTGGCAGTAGGCCTAAAGTAACATATTCAGAGGCGTCATGCCAATCTCAGTCTGTATTGTGAGGAGTTTGCATCTCTTTCTTTATTGGGAAATTGGGAACAACTATTTGATATGCAAAGGGTCCATCCATGTTCAATGTTTGATATGTATCTGTTAGCCTACCTATCAATTAGTTAACTGAATGTACTGTATCTCCTGTCATGTGGCAATTATCATTGACATTTACACCAGTTCCTTCATTTTTAAAACGTTTGTTATTAGATAGGTAGGCTACTAGACAAGGCTTTCATAATGCATTTGAGCTACCGTAGAAGCGAGGCTGTTATGTCAGTAATGACACTAGCAGCCTACAGTCACCCGTTGCGCTTAGTTATTGAAGACAGACCCACATAACTTTATATGCGCCTGCCTGGGGTGATGCAGGGAGTTGGGTGATGCAGGGAGTTATTTTAAGCAGCCTAACTAGCCAAATCAACGGCTAAAATGACCAAATATTTATCCATGTCCAATAGTTTCAGTCTATTGGTAGTAGAATAGAACATTACGTCATAAAAGTATAGCCTACCAAAATGAAAGACAACAATTCCGTCCTGAAGGGTCTGAGACAAACGCATTGTGACAACATCAAACCGGTCAACAAGGAACTGAATAATATTTAGTCCTGCTGTTGAAATATCGCAGACGGCACTTTGACAGGGTCCAGCAACCCCACAGATACATCTCACCTGCCTAATTTCAGAGAGGACAATGCGTCGAAACGATACCGTTCCCACCACACGCAAGGTGCAGGGAGGGATCTTCTTCGTAAGTGAACTTATTTTTTATCTCTGAAATCATCCAACACTTTAGGTGACTGTAGCTTAACCACCTTTCCATCCACAGTTTTTATGCGAGGAAAGTCATATCTTATTAAAATAAATCACCAAATTATGACACAATTTTATAAATGCATACAGATAATTTGTTCGTTCGACATGATGGAATCTTTTTGTGTCGGTAAAATTAATTACGCGAGAAATGGCGGTGGAAACGCCTTTATGCTCAAATATTGATATAATAACCATCATATCGAGGTATACTTGGAGTCATGCGATGACATTGTGTGGTCCTCCGACTACGACTCGGGAAACCATGCAGTTTATTAGGCTACAGATGAAATAATTTGTGATGAACTTCACAGGGTGGTGAAAGCGCACGGTATGAGCTTGCTTTCTAGTAAATGTCGAGGGTCATATTCTGGGGGCATGATAATCAATGCTTGACTGCCGTTTGACAAATAAATATATTATCGCTCTTATCCATAATAATCTCATCATGTAGACCAGGGGTTCCCAAACGTTTTCACTTGGGGCCCCCCTTCTAGCATTGGGGAACATCCCGTATATTTTTTCCCCTCATCAATCTACACACAATACCCCATAATGACAAAGCGAAAACAGTTTTTTATAGATTTTTGCAAATTCATTAAAAATAAAAAACATAAATACCTTATTTACATAAGGATTCAGACCCTTTGCTATGAGACTCGAAATTGAGCTCAGGTGCATCCTGTTTCTATAGATCATCCTTGAGATGTTCTACAACTTGGAGTCCACCTGTGGTAAATTCTACTGATTGGACATGATTCGGAAAGGCACACACCTGTCTATATAAGATTCCACAGTTGACAGTGCATGTCAGAGCAAAAACCAAGCCATGAGGTTGAACGAATTGTCCGTAGAGCGCCGAGACAGGATTGTGTCAAGGCACAGATCTGGGGAAGGATACCGAAACATTTCTGCAGCATTGAAGGTCCCCAAGAACATAGTGGCCTCTATCATTCTTAAATGGAAGTAGTTTGGATGGGAAGTGTCACGGCACAGCTATTTTCAGGTCTCTCCAAAGACCACCAAGACTTCCTAGAGCTGGCCGCCCGGCCAAACTAAGCAATCGGGGGAGAATGCCCTTGGTCAGGGAGGTGACCAAGAACCCAATGGTCACCCTGACAAAGCTCCAGAGTTTTAGCAACATTTATTTAACCCGCTTTTGCTTTGTCATTATGGGGTATTGTGTGTAGAATGAGGATATATATATATATTTTTTAAGAATAAGGCTGTAACCTAACAAAATGTGGAAGAAGTCAAGGGGTCTGAATAATTTCCGAAGGCACTACCGGTCAAAAGTTTTAGAACACCTACTCATTCAAGGGTTTTTATTTTTTACATTGTAGAATAGTAGTGAAGACATCAAAACTATGAAATAACACACAATCATGTAGTAACCAAATAAGTGTTAAATCAAAATATATTTGAGATTCTTCAAATAGCCACCCTTTGCCTTGATGACAGCTTTGCACACTCTTGGCACTCTCAACCAGCTTCACCTGGAAGGCTTTTCCAACAGTCTTGAAGGAGTTCCCACATATGCTGAGCACTTGTTGGCTACTATTCCTTCACTCTGCCGTCCGACTCATCCCAAACCATCTCAATTTGGTTGCAGTCGGGGGATTGTGGAGGCCAGGTCATCTGATGCAGCACTCCAGTTCTCTCCTTCTTGGTAAAATAGCCCTTACACAGCCTGGAGTTGTGTTGAAAAACATGATTGTCCAACTAAGCCCAAACCAGATGGGATGGCATATCACTGCAGAATGCAGTGGTAGCCATGCTGGTTAAGTGTGCCTTGAATTCTAAACAAATCACAGACAGTGTCACCAGCAAAGCACCCCCACACCATTTTACATTTTAGTCATTTAGCAGACGCTCTTATCCAGAGCGACTTACAGTTAGTGCATACATAATTTTTTTTCATACCCCCTGTGGGAATCGAACCCACAACCCTGGCGTTGCAAACGCCATGCTCTATCAACTGAGCTATATCCCTGCCGGCCATTCCCTCCCCTACCCTGGACGACGCTGGGCCAATTGCGCGCCGCCGGCTATGACAGAGCCTGGATAACACCACCTCCTCAATGCTTGACGGTGGGAAATACACGTGTAGATCATCCGTTCACCCACAACGCATCTCACAAAGACAGTGTTACAAACCCTGTGGCTTTAAAAGTCTGGGGTGGATGGAAAAGAGACCCGTAACATAACTCATGCAAATTAGAATATTGACACGGAACAGTGAGAACAAAATACACCGACAACCATAAGCTACCGTCAAATACATTTTTTAAAATTATAAAACACACGGTAAAGGTTTGGGGAAAAGGGGCTGAGCTGGACCCAAGGAATAAAACAATAATGTAAAAAAAGAATAAACTGATCTTGCCTGCCTCAAGAACCGCTAAGCTTACTACTAACTACACAGAAATACAGTGGGGTGGTCCGCTCAGGTCTAACTAGTGTTTTTAGACAAAGTTTTCCTACGGGTAATGTATGGCCAAGGGCGACTTGCTAAAAAATCCCCTTTTCCCAGGAACAAACAAACAACATAGTTACCATATGGAGTAAACAGCAAATGAGTGAGTACACAAAAAACAAGACACCACAGTAGCCATACTCACAAACAAAAAGAGTCTCTGTCAGAAAACACAACTGACTGGCTTTTAAAACCAGGGGATTTGATATGGTAATGTAAAACCAGAAACAGGTGGTGCAATACGGAGGAATTTCCACTGATTGGTCCACCTCAGCAATCAGCAGACGAACGGATGTCGGACAAGTGGGACACACCAACGACCACCAATCAGGAAAACAAGGGACACCTGTGATTAGGGCAGAAGGAGAAGAAAAACAAATATACATACAGGATACCTGTATCCGTAACACACAGCGTTTGGAACCAAAAATCTTAAATTTCCAGCGGTCTAATGTCCATTGCTCGTGTTTCTTGGCCAAAGCAAGTCTCTTCTTCTTATTGGTGTCCTTTAGTAGTGGTTTCTTTGCAGCAATTTGACCACGAAGGCCTGATTCACACAGTCTCCTCTAAACAGTTGATGTTGAGATGTGTCTGTTACTTGAACTTTGTGAAACCTTTATTTGGGCTGCAATTTCTGAGGCTGGTAACTCTAATGAACTTAACCTCTGCAGCAGAGGTAACTCTGGGTCTTCCATTCCTGTGTCTTTATGGTTTTTGCGACTGCCCTTGAAGAAACTTTCAAAGTTCTTGAAATGTTCTGTACTGACTGACCTTCATATCTTAAAGTAATGATGGACTGTTGTTTCTCTTTGCTTATTTGAGCTGTTCTTGCCATAATATGGACTTGGTCTTTTACCAAATAGGGCTATCTTCCCTATCTTGTCACAACACAACTGATTGGCTCAAACACATTAAGAAGGAAAGAAACTCCACAAATTAACTTTTAAGAAGGCACACCTGTTAATTGAAATGCATTCCAGGTGACTACCTCACGAAGCTGGTTGAGAGAATGCAAAGAGTGTTCAAAGCTGTCATCAAGGCAAAGGGTGGCTATTTGAACAATCTAAAATATAATAGATATTTAGATTTGTTTAACACTTTTTTGGTTGCTAAATGATTCCATATGTGTTATTTCATAGTTTTGATGTCTTCACTATTATTCTACAATGTAGAAAATAGTAAAAATAAAGAAAAACACTTGAATGAGTAGGTGTATATATACAGTGGGGAGAACAAGTATTTTATACACTGCTGATTTTGCAGGTTTTCTTACTTACAAAGCATGTAGAGGTCTGTAATTTTTATCATAGGTACACTTCAACTGTGAGAGACGGAATCTAAAACAAAAATCCAGAAAATCACATTGTATGATTTTTAAGTAATTAATTTGCATTTCATTGCATGACAAAAGTATTTGATACATCAGAAAAGCATAACTTAATATTTGGTACAGAAACCTTTGTTTGCAATTACAGAGATCATACGTTTCCTGTAGGTCTTGACCAGGTTTGCACACACTGCAGCAGGGATTTTGGCCCACTCCTCCATACAGACCTTCTCCAGATCCTTCAGGTTTCGGGGCTGTCGCTGGGCAATACGGACTTTCAGCTCCCTCCAAAGATTTGCTATTGGGTTCAGGTCTGGAGACTGGCTAGGCCACTCCAGGACCTTGAGATGCTTCTTACGGAGCCACTCCTTAGTAGCCCTGGCTGTGTGTTTCGGGTTGTTGTCATGCTGGAAGACCCAGCCACGACCCATCTTCAATGCTCTTACTGAGGGAAGGAGGTTGTTGGCCAAGATCTCGCGATACATGGCCCCATCCATCCTCCCCTCAATACGGTGCAGTCGTCCTGTCCCCTTTGCAGAAAAGCATCCCCAAAGAATGATGTTTCCACCTCCATGCTTCACGGTTGGGATGATGTTCTTGGGGTTGTACTCATCCTTCTTCTTCCTCCAAACACAGCGAGTGGAGTTTAGACCAAAAAGCTATATTTTTGTCTCATCAAACCACATGACCTTCTCCCATTCCTCCTCTGGATCATCCAGATGGTCATTGTCAAACTTCAGATGGGCCTGGACATGCGCTGGCTTGAGCAGGGGGACCTCGCGTGCGCTGCATGATTTTAATTCATGACGGCGTAGTGTGTTACTAATGGTTTTCTTTGAGACTGTGGTCCCAGCTCTCTTCAGGTCATTGACCAGGTCCTGCCGTGTAGTTCTGGGCTGATCCCTCACCTTCCTCATGATCATTGATGCCCCACGAGGTGAGATCTTGCATGGAGCCCCAGACCGAGGGTGATTGACCGTCATCTTGAACTTCTTCCATTTTCTAATAATTGCGCCAACAGTTGTTGCCTTCTCACCAAGCTGCTTGCCTATTGTCCTGTAGCCCATCCCAGCCTTGTGCAGGTCTACAATTTTATCCCTGATGTCCTTACACAGCTCTCTGGTCTTGGCCATTGTGGAGAGGTTGGAGTCTGTTTGATTGAGTGTGTGGACAGGTGTCTTTTATACAGGTAACGAGTTCAAACAGGTGCAGTTAATACAGGTAATGAGTGGAGAACAGGAGGGCTTCTTAAAGAAAAACTAACAGGTCTGTGAAAGCCGGAGTTCTTACTGGTTGGTAGGTGATCAAATACTTATGTCATGCAATAAAATGCTAATTAATTACTTAAAAATCATACAATGTGATTTTCTGGATTTTTGTTTTAGATTCCGTCTCTCACGGTTGAAGTGTACCTATGATAAAAATTACAGACGTCTACATGCTTTGTAAGTAGGAAAACCTGCAAAATTGGCAGTGTATCAAATACTTGTTCTCCCCACTGTATATATATATTTTTTAAATAGGGGGGACCCACTGATGTAGACTAACCTACCAGCAGAGAGCTGTTGCATCTGTGAGCTGTTGGCTAGAGCGCACATGCCAAGACCAGAGTAGGCACATTTGCTATTTAACGCAACAGTTTGTGACAAAACTATCGGTAGAGAGTTGAAAATGCGATGGAAACACATTGAGCATTATATTTTTATATGGTACATGAAAACTTTAAAATGCACTATGCAGAAATCGCTCCACCATTTCCTGGTTGCTAAAATTCTAATAGTTCCCCTAATTTAAGTTTGTGACAAAACAAGCAAATATAGTGTAGATAATCATTGTACCATGGTCCTCTGTAGCTCAGCTGGTAGAGCACGGCGCTTGTAACGCCAAGGTAGTGGGTTCGATCCCCGGGACCACCCATACACAAAAATGTATGCACGCATGACTGTAAGTCGCTTTGGATAAAAGCGTCTGCTAAATGGCATATTATATATTATTATTATCTAAACCGCTGTGAAATAATTTTTTCATAACCAAAATTATTGTGTTTTCAGCTGTTTGAAGCCGAAACCAAACCGAAAGTAAAATCAAAAACGAAACTTAACAAGAAACATAGAAACAATGCACATATTACAGATCTACCGCTTCTTATACTTGCTTTCAATGAGAATGACAGATCTATAATGAACATTTCTTTGTGAATTTGGTCTGGTTGCCCAAAAAGTTACATGTTGCAGCTTTAATTGAAAAAGTACTTTGTTTGCACTATTTCATCACACACTGATGTTTATCAGTGTGGTGTCCGAACAACGATGCTGCGATGATGTGTTGATAAGAAATCTGCTGACACTGTACTTTGATTATAAAGGTTTATTATATCAAAGATTTCAGCATCAATTTACAGACTCTGCAGAATCTAGAAAGCAACGAAACCAATCCCAAATATGATCACTCTCCCCCTCCTTCGCCAAACCATGGTATATAAATCCCATGCTTCATGCAACACAAGGTGGCGTGATTTGAATAGACCAATCCCTGGCCTCCACATAGCCCAATGTCCTCTGTTTTAGGGGGCCCCTATAATAACACTTTCCAGATGTTTCAGCAAAGTAGAGTAAAGTTCATCTAACCCACAATATGAAAACCTCAGAAACTACATATTTCCCCCCTTCGAGACTAATTAAGTCTCGAAAACAAAAATAATAGGATTATGACAAATAACAATTTTTATTACATCAGGCTTCTTGTGTAACTTTAGCAATAAAACAAAGTTTATGGAGTGTGAACAAATTGTTATGGAGTGTAAGAGCGAAAAACCTGTCTGGCAGCTTTCTTTCCAAATATCCATCAATCAATCAAGACAGGAAAATTTTCTCACGGCCCCTCTGCCCCATGCGACCACCTAAGTACTCCAGATCAATTTATAAATCTTTATCAATGCATTTTAAGCTATGGTGCAATCGAATACACGTGAAAGCCTCAGAAAACAAAATAAAATAAAATAAATGTCCACATTCAGGCTGGTCGACCCATCGGACCCTCCCGTGGATTCTCTCTGTCCCTGCCTAGACCCAATATCCCTAAGCGTCAAAGAAAAACGAAAAACATCTGAGGTCCCCACATGTACCCAACAACAGAAAACATAATAAAATAAAAAAACTAATACAGAAAGAATATGACACAAATTATGTATTACACATGCAAATATGTATATATATCAGTGCAGACACTGGAATGTAGTCCACTATACTGCAGCTCCTCAGCAGTGTCGACTTTCAATGCAACGTCGATGATGGAATCTGAACATTTCCACACCGTCCTTGTTCAGCTTCCTCCAGTCCATTCATATTGTCCATGTTTGAGTATTTGAATCCCACTCTACACATTCCCCATATGCTTCTGGAAGAAAAGAAAACACCAACCAGTATCTTTTGCAAAGCAACACATGAAAATTAAACATCAATAATAATATATATAAATGATATATAAAAATGAATCACATTCCATTTCCCCCCTTTGATTCATAAGAAAACACTAAATATCACAACAATATGCAAAGAAATGTGAAATTTATCGCACAATCAGATATTCAAACTGGATATCTATCCATCAATACTCCATCCAGTACCACTTGTTCATCTCCATCTAGATCAGTCACGGTTAACAACGGCATCTGAGTGTTGTCTCCAGGCATCACAACTCCAACCCATCTCAATATCATAGCCTTCGCAAAAGTCAATAACAAAGACTTTCCTAGAGTTACTTCAACCCTAGTTTTCGTAACGTTTTGGTCTGACTTTTTTCCGAACTGGTCTGGGGCTACTTTGTCTAACCGAATCACCGGCTTCTCCTGTAACAGAGTTGCCCTTGGTGATCTCTGCGGTTTCACATTCCACTGAAATATGCCCTGTTGTTTCTGGGACGTATTGAAAATCAATGTCCCCAAATCTCCTTTCCTGTCCATCCATTGCAGAGTCGTGTCTGGCATCATCAGAAATGTACACATGATCATCAACGTTGTCCACAGCATGGACAATCTCTCCTTCTGGGTTTTGACTCTGGATATTGTCATGCATCTCTCCTTCTGTCTGTTCTTCCCTATCTTCATCCTGCTCTCTTGAGCCTTCAACATCTTGGCTCTCTGCGCGTGGCACCTCTTCTCTAGGCGCTTTAACACAATGTAACAAATGATACCACGTTGGAGACCCTTTAACCTGGACAGCCGTTCCAGTACTACGAACAACTTCAAATGGTCCCTCACGGCGTTCGTTATACCACTTCCTTCTAAATACCTTCACGAACACCTTGTCCCCAGGTTGCACTGTACTCCTTTTTTGCTCATCGAGCTTCTCCTGCACCTCTTCTTTTCTTTGCCTGTCAGAAACATATGTGGATAGCTTTTTATGACAATGTAACATACGCTCTCATTTCATCTTCCAAAAGAGCCAAACTTGGACCCTTTCCGTTTGTTCGCAAACAAGGCGTAGGCATTCTTCTTCCTGTGACCAGTTCATGGGGTGTCATACGTAGATCACGCAACTCACTTGAGCGACACACCATTAATGCTAAAGGGAGCGCCGCTATCCAGTTTAGACCCGTATGCTGGCAAATCTTGACAATGCGATTTTTCAAAACACCATTCATTTTTTCACAAATCCCTTGACTTTGTGGGTGATAAACTGCTCCTAGACGTTGCTTAATTCCCTATTTTTTCTAAATCAATTTCACTGATTTATCCACAAATTCTTTCCCATTATCTGAGGATATTCGATCGGGAAGTCCCCACCTGCTTATGACTTCTTTACACAAGAACTTGGCAACCGACTGAGCGTCTTTTCGCTTGGTTGGACAGGGCTCCGGCCATCGTGAAAATCTATCCACAACCACCAGCATGTATCTTTTCCCTTCAACTGGTTTTATCATATCAACAAAGTCGATAACCAACTCACGCATAGGACCTCTCGGTGTTGGAATGTGACCAGGAAGAACAGTCACACCCCTGCAAACATTATTTTTCTGACAGATTGTGCACCTGCCTATGACATAGTCAACCTGTTCAAGCAAATATGGTGCCCAAAAACCATAGTCCTTTGTGATCTTTCTCCTAACCTCCCCCCTTGCAACATGAGCTAACCCATGTGCTTCCTGAATCATCAGACCTAATAGGTCTAGAGGCGCTACTATCAACCCCTCATGGTTTCTCCAAAGACCCGCAGCATCTTTGACGGCACCTCGGTCTAGCCATAACTGTTTGTCAATCATAGAAGCAGCTTCCTGCATCAAAATAACATCCTTAAGCGTAATTTTGTCTTCCAAGTCCACTCCATGAGTGACCAGAAAAACCTTGCCCAATTTGTCCGCTCCTGTGATGGCTTTTGCAGCTTCATCAGCAGCTTTGTTCCCTTGTGTGACTTTTGACACATCTGTTTTATGAGCTGCACACTTAGCTATCGCTATCTCTTTAGGCTTCATCATAGCATGCAACAGTTTCATTATTTGCGCGTGATGTTGTATCGGAGAACCATCTGTTTTCTTAAACCCTCGACCTTTCCACACTGCTCCAAACAAATGACATACACTATGTGCATATGCAGAATCAGTATATATCGTCACTCGCTTTCCTTCTGCTAACAAACACGCTTCTGTTAGCCCCACAAGTTCAGCAAGTTGTGCGGACGCAGGCTGTGGTATTACTTCAGCCTTTTCAACAACAAATCCAGTTCCTTGGGCTTTAACTACTGCATAGCCAGCACACAATTTATCTCCCACACGATAACAAGACCCATCAGTCCAATACTCCAGGTCTGCCTCACGTAATGGAAGGACTTGCAAATCTGATCTAAGCCTCGAGTATTTCTCTGCTTCTTGAACACAATCATGTGGCTCACCATCCTCTGAAGTTGGCAAATTCTCGGCTGGATTCACCGTATCACACCTCACTAGGGTGACATCTTCCTGCTCTAAGAGCCTATGATAGTCTCTGAGCCTAGGCATAGCCAATGTATATTTTCCATAGTTCAGAAGATTTCTGAGACTATGATGGGTAATAATTGTTACTGGGTAACCCATCGTAACAGATGATGCTTTGTCATACATTAAATATACTCCCACCATTGCTCTGTAGCACAATGGTAGCCCTAGTTCTACTTCTGAATAGGCAGTAGAGTAGTAGGAAATAGGTTGAGGATTCGTCCCTGTACCTGTCGGCTGACAAAGAACTGCACATGCATATTTACCTCCAGTAGAAGTAGACACATATAGCAATAAATTCTTAGAGTAGTCTGGTAGTGTGAGTGCTGGTGCCTCTTGTAACCTCTGTTTGATCGTTTCAAATGCTACAAGGCCTTCCTGTGTCCAGGAAAGATTGCTATGGAGTTGACCATTCCCAGTATCTTTAACCATAGCTCTCAAAGGTCCCGTCAAACTAGCATAGCCCTCAACCCAGGCTGAAGAATAACCAGCAATACCAAGAAATGTCATCATCTCTCTGACAGTTCTAGGTGTCGCATCAGGAGGAATTTGGGCTAACAAGGTACGCGGGTCTGGCACTTCTGCTGGAAAATCAGTTACTACTTCATTCACTGCTCTCAAATCATGAACCATACGATAAGTCTCATCGGGTTTCTTCACAGGCAACAAAGGCGTGTTACTCTGAGGATTTTTTATTGTCTTCAAAACACCTGCTTTCGAAAGTCCTTCAATTTGTGGTTCGATCCCTTGGATTGCTTCATCTTTGAATGGATACTGATTCTTCCAAGGAGGTCTGGCTGCACTGCAAATAGATTCATGTGTCATCCGTACAGCTTGTGGCTGTCCTTGTCCTTGAGCCGAAATCATGATTTTGAGAAATCGCTGATCTTCAGTCCTCCAAATCGCCAAATTCTCTTTAATCGGTACAAAAACAGCTTCCTCTGCTTCTGTCATCATTTCTCCTATATGCTTCTGCTCATAGTCTTCAGAAACCAACAAGGTCACATGTGGCACACTCTTCTCAATCTCAAATTCTTCATCCAGATAATCATCTGTGTTTATCTTCATAGCTGCTCCTTGTGGTCCTAAAATTATGCAACATGAGCTGAGTTTAACTTTCTTTGGTTGATGACTCAACCATTCCTCTGAGTTCGATTAGGCAGCATTCTTGAAATACTTGAGCGTACAATGAAATGGATATTCCGGAAGCCTCGCATCTGGCATGTTTGCCACAATGAATTTCTCCCATATCTTAGCCGGCTTCAAAAAATCTGCACTGAGATTTCCAATCCAAAATACTGAAGAAGAGTCAATCTCTGTCGTCATCAACAATTGGTAAACCGTTTCTTTTGTCACTTCTACCAGACAGCCGTCTGGCGTACATTTTATTGTACAATTCAATCTACACAATGCATCTCTTCCCAACAATGCAATAGGTGTATGTTCCGATACCAGTATGGGTAATTTAGTTTTCAGATTTTTATAGCAGAGCTCAATTGGTTCCGTAAGAGGAATCAGCTGTTTCACTCCCTCAAACCCGATTGTCCGAATCAGTTGATTGGACATGGGGAGATGTGTAGCATCTTCAGGCTGAACACAGGTGAAAGCAGCTCCGCTATCCGCCATCACTTCCAATGGTCGGTTGTTTACTTTCACCTCAATTGTTGGATCTTTTTCCGGTCCTGATGCTACCAGCTGACACCCCCCTTTCGGATCTTCTGGGCACCTCTAGAATCCTGGCTCTGGGCCCCTATAAGGGTTCACCGGTCCTCCAAATGATCTTGACTGGCCCCTGTATCTTCCTCTGAAATTTCCTCTGGTGTTTCCTCCTGGCCCATTACACTCACGGGCAAAGTGTCCAACCTGTCCACAATTATAACACACTTCTGAAGATTGCTGGAAGTATGGATTAAATCTTCCTCCTCTTCCTCTTCCTAAACCTTCTCGTCCTCTTCCTCTCCAATTCTGTGTCTGTCCGGAAACTGGCTGTGGATATGAAACAACTGGTACCACTAGTGGTGGCTGGGACAATTGCGGTTGGACCTGGTTTGGTTGAAGCTGTGGCAGTGATTGTTGATTTGGTGAACACTGATTCTGCATAACCAAAGCCTGTTTCTTCTCCGTCTTCTTATTCTCTACCAGTTGTATTTGATTTAGTTTTCTGAGAGTTTCTTGGTCCTGTTCTTTCTGGTTGTGTTCCTTTTTCCTGTATAGATCCACTTGATGGGCTATATGATCTGTATAGATACCCTTTGCCATGCTTCCAAGTCCAACCACCTCTGCCAGTTTGCTCCTTACTGGTGAGGGCAGCCCCATCTGCAGTTTAGCTCGCAAAATTGACTGCTCCATTTGACTCACATCTGGATCATTTCCGGTAATATTTCTCCACACTTGATGAGCTCTTGACACATAGGCTCTCGGATTTTCTTGTTGTCCTAGTGGGTCAATCAGTATGTTGTCAGGATGCACATTTGCTGGAAACGTATCTTTCAGTGCTCTCCACAGCCGATTTCTACTTGCAGCTAACAACTCAGGATCATTCACCGCAGTCCCCACATATCGATTAAGTCCAGCTCTCTGAAAAATTTCTTCCATACCTGGAATCCCAAGGAGATTAGCCAAAAGTCTCTTAATGTCTCCTATGGCAGACTGTGTTCCCACCGTAATTTCTTCCAACTTTGAAATCCAAGGATGTGCTCCATCTTGAAGAGTAGGCAGCTTCTCAAGTATATCTGACATATCGGTATTCTGCAAAGGCTTATACTCAAGGTTCTGTCCTCGGATTATCACTGGCATCATCTTCTTACTTGTGCTCCCTTTTCTTGGGCGCAATGTATACATCCTCTCCAATTTTTGGGATTCTTTTTTCAGCAGTTTTTCCTTCTGTATCTTCAGCTTCTCGAGTTGTTCTTCCAATTCTCTTACTTCTTCTAAATTATTTCGACTTATCCAAGCATGATATGTATCGATCCATATCTCTTTCTATTTCTTCTGTGCTAGTCATTGTATGATAAAATCCTCTTGAACATGAAGCACCTTTAATCTCAAAATCTTCATCGCTGTCTCCATCTTCACTTTCATCAGAGGTCGGGTCTCTTGTATCCTTCTTCTTCCAACTTCCATCACCCCTTCTTTCCGCTCTGGCCAACCTCCATCTGATCACAGGGTCATATCCACCCATGATCTCTTCTGAATCACTCTGATCATCATCATCATCTTCAAATTCCATCCTCCTGAACCTCACTCTACCCTTAGTTTCCAGACGTGTCATTTTCTTCTTACTTTTGGAGTTTGGATTCATCTTTATGGTCGTTTCTGCTTGTCCTCTCTCTATTATTCGTTCATCTTCATCTCTGATGCAATAATCACCCTCCTGAATGATCACTGGAAGCTGAGGATAGACGTCCTTAAACTCTACTTCTTCCTCGTAAGGTGGGGGTCTTTTTGCTGAATCCGTATGTGAGAAAGGTGTATTGACTTCTGCCATTAGTTTTTCTGTTACCTTCGCCTCTTTTGTCATTTTCTCTATACCTCTGTCTCTTTTATCTTTTGTATCTTTTATCAGTTTTTGTCCCTCATTTTCAAACAACTTAAGAACACCCAGCTCTCTTTGACTCTTTTCTTTACGTTGTTCCCCTTTTTTCTGCTTCTTTTGATCTGCCTTATACGTGGACACAAGCACTTGCATTATTTTAATTACGTCTGGGTTAAGAGTCCCTTCCACTGGCCATGGTTGTTCAATGTCAGGCCAACGTTTATGCCATTTTCCAGATAACCTTGCAATACCATTAACTAGAGGGTTACTCTTTTGTACTACATCAACAGGAGTAATTACTTTCGTAGTTTTGATGTCCTTTTTCCGCATTGTAACAACTCTTTTATATTCCTTTATTGTGAATTATTTTATTATTATTATTATTATTATTATTATTTTACACTAATTAATTTGTAAACCCAAAAATACTTTAAGCTATGTAGCTTATCTTTCCCTCCTATTTTTTAAAAATATTTTTATTTTATTTTTATTCTACCAAATTATTAATTAGTGGCAATCTTACCACATCCGATAAAGAAAAGTAAAGGAAACTAGTCAACTTCAGAGCAATCAAAAAAGAAAGACTTGTAATCCAGCAACACTACAGCGCCCACAAACCAATTGCTTAATAAGCACCCAATCACCTTAATTTTACAGAATAATCTCAGTGCTGGATTTCCAACACAACTCTAATCAAAACAACCCATGCACAAGCAAAACTCCAATGTGTAATTCTCCATTACATCAATTGATCAGTCTGTTGCCAAGTCCCTGTTATTCCCAGATGGCATGAACACGGCATTTGTTAAGAGTTTGTGGATAGAACAGTACTGGCCTTAATTGGACTGGATCCGGGTCAGCACATGCTGTCGCGTGACGCACTGGTCAGCACCTCCTCTCTCTCTGTCTCCTCCTTCTCGTCTCTCACACCACAGGAGAACAAAAGAAACAGACAACAATTTAGTATTTTATGTACTCACTGGGTTATTTCAACCATACAATACGTCAACATAGCTCTCATTTATAAATTCAATCGATCTCAATCAAATAGTTTCATAGTCAAGCAACAGCCGCTTAACAAACATAATACTTTATTTGTGTGTACTCAAGTCTCCCCCTCCTTCTCTTTGCATCTATAAGTCTGCGTGTCACAGCAGCTCAGTGCAGGCAGGGGAGTGGCATATTCATTCTGTGTAACTGTAAACTCCTAGAACTCCACACATGCGCAGGTCATTTATTAGTGTGACTTCAGAGTGAGATGAGTGCTCCCGCAAGCAATTTTTCTCCAAGTCAAACAGCAGACAGACCAGCTGTCTCTCCGTTCTTTCCAACAAACCACATTTACCACACAGACAACGGTAACACTGAACAAAACACACAAACAAACACAAAACATAGAACACAAATCCTACATCGAAGTTTCTTAACTTTCCTATAGTCTATTTTCTCTCTCCTCTTTCTTCACCCATTCTACTACAATCTGCAGACCTATACCCATTTTCTTATCCATTACAAATCCTCTCTATACAATCATAATGTCCTCCCGGGGGCTCATAGACTTTAACAAATTTGAAATCGTTCTCTCAAATGGAGACTGATAAGGTTTTAACCGTAATTAACAGATTTCCTTACAAAAAACTAAAATCTCTGTTCTCAACCAAAACATATATATGTATATATATCTAACATAAAATCTTATCATAGCATGAGTCGAGCATATAAACCTCTGCACAATCCACACAGCTGAAACACAGCAGAGACATCTTTCTTTGCGCACACTCTCTTTCTCTCACACACACATGAAAACTTCCCTAAAGCATGCTTCCGCCGCTCCTTTTCCTTTATTTTCTTCTCTTCCTAAATTTTTGCTACCTTGAGTTGCAGATATTCAATGAGAGGCTACATCGGACATATAGCTCGTCAACTATATATCGAAAGGTAACATACAATTGAATTTCTATTCTACAATCTCCCAGTTCCTTGGAACGGACCCGAGAATTCACCTAGTGACTTTCCAAGATTTGCGGCCCATCTAATGATCGCCTCATTTGAGGGCTTCCGTAGATCAGCGGCGTCCTAAACGTTATTCCTGTTTTCCTTATTTTATTCCTTTATTTTATTCCTTTTTCCCTTTAATTTTATTCAAGCCAAATTTCCCTGGGTCCAGTGTTATCAATTCCTTTTTTTTCCTTTGATCCTTTATTATATTCACACTCCCCCCTGTTTGCGTTGTTTCCAACGCAAACAAAATGCAGAAATTTAGAACGGAATCTCATCACACAGCAATCACAGCATGGCACACACAGGTTCTTCACGGTGCATTCCCTCAACGCACACACAGCCACACGAACTGACCAGCGCCCAAAGTTGTGAGAAAGCTCACCTTATCTGCCGGCCTCTGGAGCGGGAGTCAGCTCGGAGCCCATGATGGAACGTTGAAACAGACGCAACTCGCCCCAAAATCCTCGTCGGCAATTTCTGTGGTGTCCGAACAACGATGCTGCGATGATGTGTTGACACTGTACTTTGATTATAAAGGTTTATTATATAAAAGATTTCAGCATCAATTTACAGACTCTGCAGAATCTGGAGAGCAACGAAACCAATCCCAAATATGATCACTCTCCCCCTCCTTCACCAAACCATGGTACAGTGGGGAAAAAAAGTATTTAGTCAGAAACCAATTGTGCAAGTTCTCCCACTTAAAAAGATGAGAGAGGCCTGTAATTTTCATCATAGGTACACGCCAACTATGACAGACAAATTGAGAAAAAAAAATCCAGAAAATCACATTGTAGGATTTTTAATGAATTTATTTGCAAATTATGGTGGAAAATAAGTATTTGGTCACCTACAAACAAGCAAGATTTCTGGCTCTCACAGACCTGTAACTTCTTCTTTAAGAGGCTCCTCTGTCCTCCACTCGTTACCTGTATTAATGGCACTTGTTTGAACTTGTTATCAGTATAAAAGACACCTGTCCACAACCTCAAACAGTCACACTCCAAACTCCACTATGGCCAAGACCAAAGAGCTGTCAAAGGACACCAGAAACAAAATTGTAGACCTGCACCAGGCTGGGAAGACTGAATCTGCAATAGGTAAGGAGCTTGGTTTGAAGAAATCAACTGTGGGAGCAATTATTAGGAAATGGAAGACATACAAGACCACTGATAATCTCCCTCGATCTGGGGTTCCACGCAAGATCTCACCCCGTGGGGTCAAATTGATCACAAGAACGGTGAGCAAAAATCCCAGAACCACACGGGGGGACCTAGTGAATGACCTGCAGAGAGCTGGGACCAAAGTAACAAAGCCTACCATCAGTAACACACTACGCCGCCAGGGACTCAAATCCTGCAGTGCAAGACGTGTCCCCCTGCTTAAGCCAGTACATGTCCAGGCCCGTCTGAAGTTTGCTAGAGTGCATTTGGATGATCCAGAAGAGGATTGGGAGAATGTCATATGGTCAGATGAAACCAAAATAGAACTTTTTGGTAAAAACTCAACTCGTCGTGTTTGGAGGACAAAGAATGCTGAGTTGCATCCAAAGAACACCATACCTACTGTGAAGCATGGGGGTGGAAACATCATGCTTTGGGGCTGTTTTTCTGCAAAGGGACCAGGACGACTGATCCGTGTAAAGGAAAGAATGAATGGGGCCATGTATCGTGAGATTTTGAGTGAAAACCTCCTTCCATCAGCAAGGGCAATGAAGATGAAACGTGGCTGGGTCTTTCAGCATGACAATGATCCCAAACACACCGCCCGGGCAACGAAGGAGTGGCTTCGTAAGAAGCATTTCAAGGTCCTGGAGTGGCCTAGCCAGTCTCCAGATCTCAACCCCATAGAAAATCTTTGGAGGGAGTTGAAAGTCCGTGTTGCCCAGCGACAGCCCCAAAACATCACTGCTCTAGAGGAGATCTGCATGGAGGAATGGGCCAAAATACCAGCAACAGTGTGTGAAAACCTTGTGAAGACTTACAGAAAACGTTTGACCTGTGTCATTGCCAACAAAGGGTATATAACAAAGTATTGACAAAACTTTTGTTATTGACCAAATACTTATTTTCCACCATAATTTGCAAATAAATTCTTTAAAAATCCTATAATGTGATTTTCTGGATTTTTTTTTCTCATTTTATCTTTCATAGTTGACGTGTACCTATGATGAAAATTACATGCCTCTCTCATCTTTTTAAGTGGGAGAACTTGCACAATTGGTGGCTGACTAAATACTTTTTTGCCCCACTGTATATATATCCCATGCTTCATGCAACACAAGGTGGCGTGATTTGAATAGACCAATCCCTGGCCTCCACATAGCCCAATGTCCTCTGTTTTAGGGGGCCCCTATAATAACACTTTCCAGATGTTTCAGCAAAGTAGAGTAAAGTTCATCTAACCCACAATATGAAAACCTCAGATACTACAATCAGCAACAAGTCAGTATGGTGGAAACTGTCTGCATATTTTCTTTATGCGGATTTTAGAATATTTGCTAGCTAGGTTTCCATCCAATTGGCGACAGATTTTCATGCGAATATTCTAAAAGTGTTTCCATCGGATTGTTGCGGATAAAAGGCTGTGCGTGATGACGGAATGCATATAAAAATAACCTATGCGGTTAAAATCCCATTTACCGAATAAAAAAATACTAAATAAATGGGTTTCAATCGCATTTTCAACTCTACTTATTGTTTTGTCACTAAACATTTTGCGTTATATAGCGAATGGGCCTACTCTGGTTTTGGTACGTGCGCTCTAGCCAACAGCTCGCAGATACAGTGCGGGTAGGCTACCTGCAGACTATTATGGACAAAAGAGAGAGATAATTTTTTATTTATCAAACGTCAGCCAAGCAATGATCGTCATGTCACCAGTATAAGACACTCAATATTTATTGGAACGGAGCATCGCCATGCACTTCCACTTCCCTGTGATGTTCATCATAATTTACTGCGTTTAATCTGTAGCCTAATAAACTGCATGCTTTCCGGAGCCGTAGTGGGAGGACCACACAAAATAACATTGTGTGACTCCCAAATTGACTTCGATATGATGGATATAATATCAATATTTGAGCATAAAGGCGTTTCCATCGCCATTTCTTGCATTATTAATTTTACCAACACAAAAAGATCCCACCTCATATTTTATTTATGCAGATTTGGATGGAAACCTAGCACTCTTGATTATATGACAGGTTATCTTAGGTTAAAGTTACCACTGGGCTCTGTCTGTCTTCAGGACTGAGTTTTATAATAGATACCTGTACAGTAGGCTATCTATCTGAAGATTCAATAATGGCAGTATACTGTACCTTTTTACTATTTAGGTAGGCCTATGCTTACAGATTTGCCATAGACAATTATAAAAATATATATATATAAAAAAACAAGGCACATAAATGTTAAACTGATACCATTCCAACACATCCATACAACTGATTCAAATAAACTAAATGGAGATAGAAAATCAAGAACCATTTAAAGATGCACTATGCAAAAATAGCTCCGCCATTTCTTGGTTGCTAAAATTCTAATAGTTTGCCTAATTTCAGTTTATGTGACAAAATAAGCAAGTATAGTGTAGAGAATCATTATACCATCTAAACCGCTGTGAAATATCTTTTGCATAACCAAAAATATTTCTGCTGTTTGAAGCTGGTGTACAAATCCGAAAGTAAAAGACGCAAAAAACAAAAACAACACTTAAGAACGGGAAGCATAGAAATAGCGTGCATAGAACAGATCTACCGCTTCTTAGACTTGCTTTCAGTGAGAATGACAGATCTATAACACACATTTTTATGTGAATTTGGTCGGGTCGCCTAAAAAGTTCCATATTGCAGCTTTAAATGTGGTATTGTACTCTGGTTTGAACCCTATACAGGTACTCAAGGGGTTAACAAGTGGCAGCCAATCTGGAATGTAGCTCTGCTTCATTTGTTATCAATCTGGCTGGGGGAAGGTAGTCATGTCAAACTGTCACCTCAGCTCTTATCACACAGCTCTATCACTGTGACTAGTCTGAAACCAGTGGGGCGCGACCGACCAGCATTTTATAGTGGGACCTACCCATGTAATGAGTCTGTTAATGTGCTCTTCAAGGCTGTTTTCTGTTAGCCTGGTCCCAGATCTGTTTGTGCTTTTGCCTACTCCATTGTCATTGTCAAGCCAAATCACTCTGTAAAAAGTTGCTAGGTCACGTCACATTTCTCCAACTTAATACATACTGCAATTTCAACCACAAAGCTTATTCACTTTGATTTTAAACATCAAAATACAAGTGCTTGCCTAGCTAACATCTAAATGTTTGATTTTGTTGTTAACATTTTTATTCTAAATTGAGGTTCCAGATGTTGTCTTGGAATTATTCAATGTTATGTTCAGCAACCAATCAGTGACCTTGCACAAAATTCGGCTGCATATTGAAATGTTGAGATTCACAGAAAGGCCAGACTGTTTTGCATGTCAATTCCATAAGGAGTTGGCAAGAGAGTAAAAACAGACTGGAAACCAGGCTAGTTTTCTGCAGTTATGTTTACAATAAAATAGCTCTCTCCAACCCACCGCCCTAGCCTTAGCCAGTGGTTGAGATAGGCCTACATGATATGCAAATACAGTAGGTTCTATCCTCGTAAAAATAGTTGGTTCAATCACTGAGGTAGAGCATTTCCTTTGCTGTGAAATATGATCCAATCGAAACTGAGCAAGCCAATTGACAAAGAGAACAAATGTGATTAGACTGCCAAGTACTTTTCCTTCCCCTAATTCCAAGTATGTCCCTTCTTAGTTTATCCTCACAGATTCCATGTTGCTCACAGATACCTTTAAATCAGCTGCTGTACAGTATTTCACTTTGACACTGTCCACCACAGCTATAAAACAAGTAGAACTATGGACACCAGTATACCTTCTGTCTAACTCTGGCGCCACAGTACCCTGTCCCTGTCTGGGGGCCACTTAACCTACTTACACTCCAACTCCATCATCACTACCAAGGAGTTACTGTCTCAGACTGTAGTGGACTGATCCACCGGGCTTCTGGGTGATTCTACACAAGGATGGTCCCAAAATATTTTTGCCATCTCAGATTGTTCTGGCAATTCTCACATACAAACTTAATTGTGAGGAAGGATGTTTGATATGCTTTTTACATTTATATCACAAACCATTTCTGAGAAAATCATGATGAACGTGGCCATTTTAGGCCCTTTTTAGACCTATACATGCATCCTGTAAGACCCTATGATCCGTGAACCGTACATGATACAGACACAACATCATGTCATTATACTCCTTATAGTGTGCTCTAAAATATGGAGTATTCCTAAAAGTACCCTTTTTGATTTTGACATTTTTTGGAACCATATACTTTTGAAGATGTGAACCATTTTATTCATAGAAATTGACATTATAGGTCATTAACCAATCACATTCAGCAAATCACCAGCAGTTCCCTTTGAATCCATTTTCCCATTCACGATGTTGGTGGTGCTCATAAAATGTATCATAACTTCAAAAGTAGCAGAGTACCCACTCTGGAAATGTGATGTACTTGTAGAGTATATTGTTTAAAACAATATGTCCAGAAAATTTACAAAATCAAAAAGGTTACTTTTGAGATATTAATATTTGTAATGTTTAATACATTTGTGAATTTTTTTATTTCAGAATCTAGACATACTAAATATTTTAGAGCACACTATAAGGAGTATAATGACAAGATGTTGTCTGTATCATGTACGGTTCACGGATCATAGGGTCTTACAGGAGGCATGTATAGGTCTAAAAAGTGCCTAAAATTGCCACTTTCATCATGATTTCGCCCCCCCCCCCAAAATGTTGATACAAATTTAAAAAGCATATCAAACATACTTCCTCCCAATTAAGTTTATATGTGAGAATTGCCAGAACAATCTGAGATACCCAAAATATTTTTGGGCCTTTCTGGCGTGGAATCGCCCTTCTTACTTGTGTGTTGGAGTATTTGTGTGTGTTGTATTGTGTGATCAGGTATTAAGCATTGTGTCCCCTCATTCAACAGCCTAAGCCTCAGAATGCCATCACCATTGCGGTGTCATCGCGGGTCCTCTTCAACATGGATAAGGAGCAGCAGATCTACGAACAGAAAGGCATGGAGGACTACCTCAAGTACCAGATAGAGCACGAGATGGAGCCCTTCGTCCCCGGCCCTGCTTTTCCTTTCGTTAAGGTCAGGGAAATAAAGACACAAAGACATACAAACAGACAGAAATACACCCAGAGCTTTGACATTGCCGATCATGTTCGTCAATGTGCATGATGTATGGTGAATGTTGAGAGATTCTGTTTGACGTGACCCCAGGCTCTGGAGGCAGTGAATACTCGGCTGAGGGAGCTGTACCCTGAGAGTGAGGAGCTCTTTGACGTTGTGCTCATGACCAACAGCCACGCACACGTCGGTCTCCGACTCATAAACACAATCAACCACCATCGTGAGTGCCTAATCACACACACAGACACACATGCATAAACACGTGCACACATGTGCACAACCTGGCCATTGTGCTGTGAATGAGGACATCTTTCATTCAAATTCAGTGTGATGCCCTGATATTAGGTTGGGCTTAAGGGTACCAGGAGATGAGGGCTGGTCTGATGCACTGATGATGAAGTTTGAGTTCATTTATTCTTGCTCACAGATAAAACTGAAGAAGTGCAGAACTGACATTACTAATAATTGCAAAACACTAATTTAAAATACATAATACGTGACATAAATAGAATACAGAACACTTGAAACATCACAGACATTTTTCATGATGGAAATTTAAATGTTAAAATGTGATTGTAAAAAAAAGAATCTTTGGGAAAACCATTGAAGAACTAGAGTCTGACAGCAGTGGGTAGAGTGGCGTTTCGCAGGCGGTTCGTACGGGCAGTTATATAGTGTAACCAACTTCACATATCCCCCCAGAAGAAAGGCACACGGACACCCACACTTCAGGTTGACTCGGTTTTTATCTGCAGTAAAATTTATCAAACAGTGATGACAGGCATTGACAGGACGGTCACAGCCACACGTTCACTGCTCTCAGAATATCTCTCTCAGACTGAATCCACAAAGTGATCGTATAGTATACATGCGTTGTGTTTAGAAAATAACAAAAATACAGAAAAGCATACCTGCAGTAAAAGATATCAAACAGTGATGACAGGCATTGACAGGACGGTCACAGCCACACGTTCACTGGTTAGGTAGTGTAGCTCCTCCAGTGATTGCTGCTTATCACACAGAGGTGCTAAACATCCTTCTTCTTTGTAAGTATGCACTTAAACACGATAACAGTGGAAAAATAATTCGCTTTTTGCGGTAAAGTTTCCTCGGTGCGTCGCTAAAGGCGCTTGGGTGACAACACTCGGGCGGAACCAATAATTAGTTCCGTCTTGCTGTAAACGTACAATTCAGAACAAATTAAATAATAAAAAGTGCAAATACATTAAATAAAAAGTGCTAATACATGAAATAAACTGGCGACAGAGGCAGTTACACTCCCACCAAATCACAAGTGATTTCTTAAAACTTGGAGACAAACCTACTGCATTAATAAATTAAATGAAACTCTGTCCTAATAAACAACTAATAAACTGTGTGTGAGTGTATGATAGAACCATCAGTCTGCTTCTAGCAATGTAACTGTTGTCACGATCGTCTAGTAGCGAAGTAGACCAAGGCGCAGCGTGTGAAAGAAACATGACCTTATTATATTAAAGTACTGAACAAAACAAAACACGATCGTGAAGTCCACAGTAACACTGACTGAACACGGAACAAAAACCCACAACCCCAAGGTGAAAACAGACAGTATAAATATGGCTCCCAATCAGAGATAACGAGCCAACAGCTGACACTCGTTACCTCTGATTGGGAGTCACTCATTCAAACAAAGAAATACAACCACATAGAACAACCCAACCAAACAGAACACCACGAAACGAACACACCCTGGCTCAACATACAAAGTCCCGGAGCCAGAGCGTGACAGTACCCCCCCCTAAAGGCGCGGACTGCGACCGCGCCTCAAAACCCCAAAACAGGGGAGGGCTGGGTGGGTATTTCTCCTCGGAGGCGGCTCCGGCTCCGGGCTTGACCACCACCCTTCCACAATCCCCCCGTAGCGCCCCCGGTCCGGTCTGACCCCGCTGGCTGGATCTGGACCGGACATAGACGGAGCGGATTGCTCAAACTCCGTAGTGGAGTAGCTGACCTGATCAGGCACCGGACTGACGACGCGCACCCCTGGCTTGGCGCGTGAGGCAGGCACGGACCGGACCTGGCTGACGATACGCACCCTTGGCTTGGTGCGTGGAGCCGGAACGGACCTCACCAGGCTGACGACTCGCATCCTTGGCTTGGTGCGAGTAGCAGGAATGAGCTGGACCAGGCCGACGACGCACCCCGTAGGCTTGGTGCGTGGAGCAGGAACAGGCCGGGCTGGGCTGGCGATGCACACCGTAGGCTTAGTGCGTGGAGCAGGAACAGGCCGGGCAGGGCTGGCGACGCACACCGTAGGTTTGGTGCGTGGAGCAGGAACAGGCCGGGCAGGGCTGGCGACGCACACCGTAGGTTTGGTGCGTGGAGCAGGGACAGGCCGGGCCAGGCTGACGACGCACCGCGTAGGCTTGGTGCGTGGAGCAGGAACAGGCCGGGCTGGGCTGGCGACGCACACCGTAGGTTTGGTGCGTGGAGCAGGGACAGGCCGGGCCGGGCTGACGACGCACCCCGTAGGTTTGGTGCGTGGAGCAGGGACAGGCCGGGCCGGGCTGACGACGCACCCCGTAGGCTTGGTGCGTGGAGCAGGGACAGGCCGAACAGGGCTGGCAACGCACACCGTAGGCTTCGTGCGTGGAGCAGGAACAGGCCGGGCAGGGCTGTCGACGCACACCGTAGACTTGGTGCGTGGAGCAGGAACAGGCCGGGCAGGGCTGTCGACGCACACCGTAGACTTGGTGCGTGGAGCAGGAACAGGCCGGGCAGGACTGTCGACGCACACCGTAGACTTGGTGCGTGGAGCAGGAACAGGCCGGGCAGGGCTGTCGACGCACACCGTAGACTTGGTGCGAGGAGCAGGAACGGGCCGGGCAGGGCTGGCGACGCACACCGTAGGTTTGATGCGTGGAGCAGGGACAGGCCGGACCGTACTGGGAACACACACCACTGGCTTTAAACGGGGATCAGGAACGGGCCGGACCGGACTGGCAATACCCCTCAGTCCCTCTCGCCGTGCCTCTACGACTTCCTTCCCTCCTCTCGCCAATGGCTCCCGTAACCCGGTGGCCTTCTCTCCTCTTCTCCTATTTCGCCCTGTGGCAGCCTCCTGCTGCCCAGTCGCCCATGCCGTGTGCCCCCCCCTAAAAAATTATTGGGGATGCCTCTCGTCCGTCCGACGATGGCACTGCTGACGCCGCTGCTCCTCTCTCGCCAGGGCCTTGATCCTACCCCAAGGTCCCTTGCCCCCGAGCATGTCCTCCCAGGACCACACTTTGCCCACCTGGGCCATCGCCAGCCTCTCCATCTCCTTTCCTGGCGCTTCCTCCCATGACCAGGCTGCCTGCTCCTGGACACGCTGCTTGGTCTTTGTATGGTGGGTTTTTCTGTCACGATCGTCTAGTAGCGAAGTAGACCAAGGCGCAGCGTGTGAAAGAAACATGACCTTATTATATTAAAGTACTGAACAAAACAAAACACGATCGTGAAGTCCACAGTAACACTGACTGAACACGGAACAAAAACCCACAACCCCAAGGTGAAAACAGACAGTATAAATATGGCTCCCAATCAGAGACAACGAGCCAACAGCTGACACTCGTTACCTCTGATTGGGAGTCACTCATTCAAACAAAGAAATACAACCACATAGAACAACCCAACCAAACAGAACACCACGAAACGAACACACCCTGGCTCAACATACAAAGTCCCGGAGCCAGAGCGTGACAACTGTTTTCTGAATGGGTCTCTCCAGGTAAACAGGTTTGGCTGTACGCTTTCCTCTTCCATCCAGGGAGGAGTCACTGATGAGTAACTTGAGTCTCCTCACTCTTTCATCACTTCCAGGATACACCTCGATGACTCTTGCTAGCTTCCATTGGTTTCGTGGTGTGGCAGCATCTTGTAACAGAACAATGTCACCGACCTTCGCATTTCTGCGATCTTTGGTCCACTTCTGTCTGTGTTGGAGATTCAGGAGATACTCTTTTTTCCATCGTACCCAAAAGTTGTTGGTTAAGAGTTGAACTCTGCGCCATCTTTTGCGGAGGTAGAGATCCTCTTTGACAAACTTTCCAGGAGGAGGGAGAATGATTGTGGATTTCATGGTCAAGATGTGGTTTGGTGTCAAGGGCTCTGGACTGGGAGAATCGTTCAGATGATCAGTGGTTAGAGGTCTGCTATTCACAACCGCCATAACCTCATATAGAAATGTTCGTAGGGAAGAGGAGTCAAGTTGTCTGGACGACTGTTCTAGAATGGACGCCAGGACGCTTCTGATAGTGCGGATTTGTCTTTCCCAGACTCCACCCATATGACTTGAGGCAGGGGTGTTCATGATGAACTCGCAGCCCAAATCTTTGAGCTCTTCTTGATCCATCTCTTTCAGTGCTTCAATGAACTCACGCCTTGCTCCGACAAAGTTTGTCCCTTGATCACACCTTATCTGCCTTACTGATCCACGAATGGCGATGAATGAACGCAGAGCATTGATAAAGGCATCTGAGGTCAAGTCATCAAGTGCTTCAATGTGAACTCCCCTTGAACACATGCAGGTGAGCAACAGCCCATAACGCTTTAGCTCCTTTCTTCCTTCCTTAATGTAAAATGGTCCGAAGCAGTCCATTCCACAGTAAGTGAATGGAGCAGTTGTTTCCATCCGCTCTTCTGGAAGGTCTGCCATCCTTTGTTGCCCTGTGCATCTTCGGAACCTTCTGCAACTTGTGCACTTGTGAATATGGGATGAAACAAGCTTGCTGCAACCCAGGATCCATATGCCATTGGATCGGAGTTCATTTATAGTCATTCCTCGACCTTGATGGTACACTCTCTCATGATAGTGCTTGACGAGCAATGCAGAAACATGACTGTCTCTAGGAAGTACTGCTGGATGCCTCACATGTGGATGTAGGGCAGCATTAGCTAAGCGGCCTCCTACTCTGATTACACCTTGATCATCCAGGAACGGACATAGTTTGTGCAACTGGTTGGCTTTGTCTTTGACCTTTGTCTCCTTATGATGTCTAAGGCGTTGAATTTCTTGAGAGAGAGTTGCTTCCTGGACCATCTTGATTATGGTCAGCTCCGCCTCTTTCCTTTCCTCCAAGTTCGAGGCCTCACAGGACTTTGGCTTGAGACCTTTGATTTCCTTAGCACGGCGCTTGAGTCTGGCAACAGCCTTCACCATTCTTGCCCAGTCTGAGAACTTGTGTAGACGATCTAAAATTGTTTTTGCTTCTTCTGCCTGAGTGTCATGAACCTGAGCTTTCTTGACCTCTGGGTCACTGCTCTCGATCTCTCCCACCATGACAACTCCAGTTGGTAGCTCTTTTTGCCAAAGAAGGTCTGGACCTGTGAACCAGTTAGAAGCTGTGAGTTGTTCTGCTGTGACACCCCTTGAGGCGTGGTCAGCTGGGTTGTCTTCTGAAGCTACATATCTCCATTGTCTGGCCTCTGTACTTAGGTGCACTTCGTTTGGGAGATTTGGAAGAACTGATGTCACTTGCTTCACAATGACTTGATGGCTTATTCCAAAGGCATCTCCAAAGTCAAGACATGGGTTGCCATAGCCGACTACACTCCAACCCAAGTCTGTTCTCTGAGCAAAGGGCTCATTTTCTTCTCCAGCAACCACTTGTCTTGGTACAAGAGCTTGAGGACAGTTGTAGCCAATTAGTAGGCCGATGTCACAGCTCTGCAGAGGAGCAATTTCATTGAATTGGCAGTCTCTGGTGTGGGAATATGATCTCTGTTTGCAGGGATGAATTCTCTTGAGTAAGTAACTGGCAGGTAGATTATCTTATCGGAGTAGAATCCTCTTATTTGTAGATCAGTCAGCCTTCTGCTAGGCACCACTGTATTTCTTGAAGCCATTGTGGAGAGCTTTAACTGGACTGGTTCATTTTTAGTGTGAAGCATCTTTGCTGTCTCTTCAAGGATGAAGGTCGTGTCACTCTGTGTATCGAGAAGAGCATACACAAGGACTTCATGATTTGGCTTACTTGTAGTGGACAACCACACAGGAATGACTGAGGATGTATGGGTGCCTTTAACATTCTGGATAACTCTGTTAGATGTTACCTCGCGTGGTGGTTTTGTCACCCTCTCTTGTGAACGATCTGTCGTTCCTTCTTTTGACTTGTCACTCTCCATTTCTCCATCAGTCCTTGTTGACATTCCTCTTTCTTTGCTGCGATTATCGTGTAGGCAGGTTGGATGTCCTTTCTCACAAGTATCACAGATCCTTCTATTTTCACACTCCTTTGAGCGATGGCCAGGCTTCAGACAGCCAAAGCACAACTTCATCCCTTGAACAAACTTGACTCGCTCAGAGATGGTTTTATTCATAAATTTCCAACACTTGTGTAGACTGTGACCTGACTTCTCACAAAAAACACAGCTTGTGGAGGAAGCTTTTTCATCTGAGTTAGTTGCTAGTACCTTTGCTCCGAGAGCTCTGTTCTTTAAAACCTTGATCTGCTCACCTTCAGCAGGTTTCAGAGCATGGAGAGATGTTATTGGGTTATTAGCAATCTTAGCTTCACGTGTGAGAAACTTTACAAACTGCTGGAAGCTTGGGAATGTTTGACTTTCTTCCTCCACTTCTATGACCTTTCTGTTCCATCTCGAGGTCAGCCAGTCTGGAAGCTTTGCAAGTAACTTCTGGTTCTCATTGCAGTCATTAAGTACTTCGAGGCCTCTGATCTGAGTCATAGCAGCCTCACAGCTCCGAAGAAAATCAGCAAACTCTTGAAGTTCGATACTGCCTTTGGAGCTTATCTTGGGCCATGCCTCCAGCTTATCTCTGAATGCTTTGGCTATGAGGAATGGATTTCCATATCTTTCCTCGAGAATCCTCCATGCTGCGTGATAGGCTGACTCTGAACCAAGCAGGAAGTAGCTCTCTATAGCCTTTTTAGCAGGTCCACCCACATACTTTCGCAAGTAATATATCTTTTCTTCGGCTGGAATGTTTTTCCGATCAATGAGTGTCTGAAATGAAACCTTCCAGTCATTGAATCTGAGTGGGTCGCCATTGAATATTGTTGGTTCAGGTATAGGAAGACGACCTGCACTGATGGACTCTGCAAGTGCTCTAACAAGAGCTGCTGTGCTGTCATCCTGCTTTGAATGTGCCCGGTCTTGTGGTGAAGAATGGTGCTGCAACAGATTATTTTCATGTTTAACTTCTTCCTTTTCCTTCATACAGACACTTTGATGGAGTAGACTGCTTATTTCTTTATCTGAGCACTCACTCTGATCATACACTCGCTGACGTGCCTTAGCAGCCTTTAACTTTTTAACTGTCTCTAGTCGCTCCAGTTGTCTCCGCTTTGCATCTAGCACCTTTTGTCTCTCTGCAGCTTCAGCTTCAAGCCTTTCCAATTCCTCAATGCAACACTCTTGTTCTAGTAGTACTTCTAGAGTAGCTTCATTGGCAGCAACTTCAGCAGCGGCATCTTGTCTGCTAACAGAAATCCGACTTCAATGTCTGGAGCTGCTTTGAGCATGAGAGGACTTAGTGCATTGGGATTTGATACTTATCTTGTCTGAGGCTACAGACTTGAATATAGACGATGTCGCCCTGTTGCCTCGTTGTTCATCTCCTCCACCGTTATCTGCTGTCTCCAAACGATCTTTTGCAGTTTGGATGATCTTCCTGGTTACTGCATCACAGGTGTCAATTCTGCGACGTGTGTCATGGTCAGGGTTGTCTATGCGCCTTACCTCATCATAAGCAATGTTCAGATTCTCTGAGGCAGCACTTATTTTGCTTATGTGTTCATGTAGCAGGTTGTTTGAGCATTGTCCACTCAAAGCTTGCTTGGCGTCTTTAGCAATAGCCTTCCACTCCTCATAGCTCACAGTGAAACGGTGAGCAAATCTTCTTATTTGCTCATTGTACAGTTCTTGGCCCTTTTCTGTTAACTTTCGGTCTCTTTGGCTTCTTCGTGGTTCTTGTGAGGAAGTGTGGTCATTAGCTCTTGTGCCTTTAGTAGCCTGTGGTTGCATGTCTATGCACTGCTGCTCTATACTTTCACCTACATTAACCTGCTTTCTCCCAGAGGTAAGACTAGGCTCTGACATTGTTACTTGGTGTACTGTGATTCAGCTCCCATTAGCTATTCACATTTATACTATTTTTACCACTAATATTATTTTTTAGAACATATTCACATCTACTTCACACAAATCAATATCACGTTGTTCTATGAAATGCAAAATTCAGTCTCTTGGTTGTAGCTTAGTTAACACTTAAACATACACACAACTATACCGTATGAATATGAAGGCAAAAATGTGTCAGTCTCTTGTGGGAAATAGTTTAAGCTTCTTTGCATCGGCTGGATTCATGGTAAGGCGCCTGGATTCTTCTGTGGATGCTGCGGCTGTGTAAATGTCAGGAGCAGATGCACACTCTTGGATGTAGAGATGTCCCTTCTTGTCACGGCTCTTTGGTACTGTCTTCCTCGTCTACTCATGCAGAGCAGATGAGTTCTCACTGTAGCTCCTCCAGTGACAGGCATGAGGCAAGAGGTCTTGATTTGAATACAGGGCTTTAATGCTGGTCAACCCTTGAGAACTCGTTTAAAGAAAGAAAAAATACATTAACAAAATAATGCCATATGCATGTCTCACACATCTGGCGTTATAATCAAGCTCATACAGCTAGACACTTTATGTATATTTTACACCAAAAAATGATGCACGTAAACACAAACACCCTCATAGCAAAATAAATAGTCAACAAACCTCATTGCTGCTTATCACACAGAGGTGCTAAACATCCTTTTAAATGTCCTTTATCTTCTTCTGTATACTTTCTTTGTAAGTATGCACTTAAACACGATTAAAGTAAAGTTTCCTCGGTGCGTCGCTAAAGGCGCTTGGGTGACAACACTCGGGCGGAACCAATAATTAGTTCCGTCTTGCTGTAAACGTACAATTCAGAACAAATTAAATAATAAAAAGTGCTAATACATGAAATAAACTGGCGACAGAGGCAGTTACAGGTAGGACACAAGATATATTTTAGATAGGAGCAACAGTAGTGATGCATTCCCTCAATGTGAAGTAATATTAATCCATAAATACAGAGCACAAGTACAACCATTTTATATAAACCTTTTAAGGTAGTAAGAAAATAAACATTCACTTAATTTCAATAAGTCACCTGCTAGCAAATCACCTGCTGGCAATAGCTAGCGTGACGTTGTAGTGCAGTGACCATCGGTGCTAGTTAGCTCATCATTAACATGGCTAGCTAAGCCAGCAAAAACTTGGTTAACTTGCTGAAATAGGTCTTCAATACATTAACGGCAAAATAAATATATACATAGCCACATTTGCTATTGACTTTAGGATATATGAACCAGTTTTCCAAAAACACTTGTTATACAGTTTTAAACAGTTTTTTATATACAGAGGAAGGAGACACAAACCTGCTCTCAGAATATCTCTCTCAGACTGAGGAGCAGGCAGACCAACTTCCCAAATAGGGGAGAAGCACTCAAAACCCACTAGTTTTTCTTTCAAAAGAAAATAGTACAAAAAATGGTAAGTCCGAAGACCTCTCGTATTACCAACCTTACTACAATGGCAGCAAATATTTTTATGAATTCAGTAACACAAAATTAAAGGAAACTTTATTTATATCACCCCTTTTCCTGAAGTGAATGGTTTCACCCACTACTCTACCGCGAACTGCGCCGTTCTTTGACGTCTACATTGCGCGCGAGGTTGATGGAAACTCTACATTTTCACTTTGTTACAATAGCACAGTTCGTATTTGTGTCTCAGGAGCCTGGTGGTGCAGTTACCTCTTTTTGGAGGGAGCAGGTTGTTCAGTGGATGGTCAAGAGAGTGCATGTCCTTCACCAGGTGCACTGCAGCCTGCTCTCGCCTGCTCTGCAGTGACGGGAGCTGTGGTTGGACTGCTCCACCTCTGGAGATGATCCTCAAGGCCCTCCTCTGCACCCTGTCTAGTTGGGCCTGCTGCTTTTTACTGCATCCAACTAACAGCACTCCACCGTATTCCAGACAAGACCAGACCAGTGTAGGGTATACTCTGACCAGATCTTCAGTGGGTAGGCCATTTCTGGTAAGAACAGTCAAAAAGGGCATGCGTTATGAGAACTTCCTCACTGACTGCTCCACGTGTGTGTCACCACTGAGGTTAGAGTCTAGATGAAAACCAAGATACTTGGTTGTTGTTACCACTGGTACTTCCTGTACTCCTAGGATTAGTGGTGCAGGTTGTGGATGGTCTCTAGAAAAACATATCCGAATTTCCACAGACTTTTTCCCATTCAGGAGCATGTTGTTGGATGTGGCCCGCTCTTCCAGCTGCTTTGCCTTCAAGCCCATGGAACTGTCCTCTTGGATGCTGGTTAATGGTATGACTCGGAACAGCCCTACATTATCTGCATACCCAGTGTCCAGAGTGTCACTGAAGACAACTTTTCGGGTGGACATGTGACGGAGAAACAGATATGGTGAAACCCCGCCCCTTTGTGGCACACCAGAGGTGACCTCTGACCAAGGGCTAAATGTGCCATTTTCCATCACCCTCTGCCTTCTTCCGGTGGTGTAGCTGTGGAGCCAGGCTAGTAACCTTGGACACAGTTCAATGTCAGACAGATGTTGCAGGAGCTTTGTGTGATCTACTCGATCAAAGGCTTTGGACATATCAGCAAGTAACACCTTCACCATTGTTGGTTTTCTGGAGTCTGTAGCTGTCAGCCAGGAGTGTGTGGCTTTCACAAGGGCGGTAGTAGTGCAGAACTTTGGGAGATAGGCATACTGATTCGTGCACTTTTTTTATGATGAAGCTCTCCTGGATTTTTCCAAGGAATGAAGTTAGAGAGATGGGCCTCCAGTCACTCTTTGTACATGGGTTGACACTTTAGGTATGGGACACATATTGGCAATCTTCCAGGCAACAGGGACAGTACCCTGCCAGTAGGAGGTGTTAACAATGTGTGTGATGACAGATGCTAGATCTTCTTCATGCTCTTTTAGTAGCCAGGCTGGAATGCCATCAGGCCCACTCGCTTTACGTGGGCTGAGTCAGGTCAGAGCTTGCTTTATCTGGCCAATGCTGCACAGCTCAACCTGCCTTATAGGCATGGGCAAGGGGAAGATGGCAAGAGGTGTGGTGCTTGCCCATGCCTCAGCAAATAAGCCATTGAAAACATCAGTCACATCGTCGTCTTCAATTTCCTCGACCCGTATTCTCCCTCAAATGTTGTTTTCTTTCGTCCCAGTCCTTTGTTAATGAAGTCCCACCATTCCTTTGGGTTTTTCTTCTTTAGGTCCTGGATTTCAGTTTTGTAGTAGTTTGTCCTTGATACGCATTTGCACTGTGTTTCTGTATTCTCTCCATTTCATTGTTTTCCCCCATCTGTTGAAAATCTGTCTTTTCCTGATGGCAGCCTTTATTTGTTCAGTCATCCAGGGCTTGTCCAGTGTTGTTGTTTTCTTATTGGCATGCATACATCAAGTGCAGTTTGAATGCAGGAGTTGAACATCTACCCCTTTGCATCGATGATCTCCACCTCATATATGGCAGACCAGTCAGTACATCGTGCCAAGGCCTCCTTTCTGTTCTGGGATACCAGATGTCCTTTTTTCCCGCTGCACCACGCTTCTCCCTCCTGATGTTGTATTTGGCAAGAACAGCAGACATTTTTGATCACTGGAGCCGAGAGGAGTGATTCTTCAGATTTGTAATGATCAGATCTAGGATGGAGTACCCTCTGGTCTTGTCTTTGACCACTTGTTTCATATCTGGATAGGAGTTTGGCAATATCTTGATCGACAGGTGATTAAAGTCTCCACACAGGATGAAACCCATTTGGGGAGAGGACATCCTGATCACATGGACAGTGTTTATGAGATAATCCACAGTGTTCTGCTGAAGTGTTTTCTCATTTGCCCATGGTGGATGGTAGAGTACTCACACTACCAGAGTTTAAACTGAGCTGGGGAGTCATTTAGGACGAAGCTGAAGCCACACACACTCAAACTCCTCTTTCTCTAGGTCTTCTCTTTGCCTGCATACTGTGATTCACATACATAGCTACGCCCCCTCCTATCATCCCCTCTCTCGACCTGTCATTTCTGAACAGCTCATAGTCTTGTATGAAAAGAGATTCATCTGGGATATTTTCGTGGGCCCATGTTTCAGTGACACATCCAATGTCTGCATTTACTGATTGAAGACGCAGTTCAAATGCATCCACTTTGTTTATCAATGATCTTGAATTACAAACAAGCACATTCGGAGTCTCTGGGGCATTTTTTGGTGTATTTGCGACATCACATAATTCAGTTAGAATTATGAGCGTGAGCGATTGTGTTTTCAATGTATTTTAGGTCTGTTACCTTCTATTGTCAGTATTTTCTTCCTTCTGCCCTTACCAGCTGTAGTCCCTCTCACCCGGCTTCTTGCACGCATTATCCCGAAGCACAAACGTTTGTCTGACTCGGATATGCGGTACTAGTGGAGGTGCATGTTTTTTGTAAATCCGTAGAAAATGCGATGAGTATTCCAAAACGTTTGTACAATCCATTGTTATCAGAGCCATGGTTAATCCGTTAAAAGAGCAGGAAAAGTATGCAGTGCGACAAAAACACAACTATAAAATACAAACATTTCAAACATTGTAACGTTACTCTCGAGCTGATGATGGTGCTCTGGGTGCTCCACACAGCTAATCATTCCCATTTCCACACAGCCTGTATGACCCTGTGGCCCTCAGAACACATGCCTGCTTAAAACCTCACCAAAATAACTTCAGCTGTGTGGGTCCTTATGTCCAAATGCATCATCATGATGATGTGGCTGGTGACATTTCAAGGTTACTTTCTAAATGTAATCTCTTACAGTTACTAGTTACCTGTCCAAAATTGTAATCTGTAACGTAACTTTTGGATTACCCAAACGTATGGATTTGGATTACCCAAATCTGATTGCTTTCAGTGACTTTTAGATTACTTTCCCTTTAAGAGGCGCAGATTAGTAGCTGGCACAGCCACAAAATCTGATTTCAAATCTAACCTTAACCCTAACCACACTGCTAACCCTAATGCCTAACCCTATCCTTAAATTAAGAACAAAAAGCTAATTTCTGTTTTCATAAATTTTTGCAATATAGCCATTTTTGACTTTGCAGGCGGCCCATCTATCGGAAATCGCACAGTTTTGCCTCAAGGACAAGACTCTTCCCAATAAACATCAACCTGCTTAAAAGGCATTAGAAGAAGACAAAAATGAATATTACCAATTGAACAACATCTATTGCAGGATAAATCTATGTTAGAGTTTACATAGTTGGCCATAAATGGATGTTGCATTTTACTTCATGGTTTGGTTATGTAGGCTTCTTCTAAACCATTGCTTTCTACTACAGATAATAATACGATTAGGCTATATCTTTATATTTAAAAAAGAGTCTGTCAGATTTCCAGTCATTCCAATTAATTGAATACCCCCTGATCTTCAATAATAGGACTTAGAAATATGGAAATATAGATTAGCCAGATTGTTTTATCTGAGCATAACCTCAAAACTAAAGACTAATTAGCCTAATCCGTTTTTATTTTTTATTTTTTTGTCTAGAAGGACTGATTGGGGTCATTGCTTCGATTTGAAAAAAAAGTGCTGCTCTCGGAATGGCATGCTTTGAGCACTACCGGAATGTGCTACTTGCATGTGAAAAATTAGATGGTAATGTTCTATTAAGAAAATAAAAGCCCCATTCATGGTCTTCTTAAATTATACTAGTTTTTGACCTTATGGAGCACAATACCACAGCGGGGTTTAGAAGGGAGAAACTCAAACTTTTATTCCATAGGCTGGGATCCGCACTATGCAGCTGTTGCATGAGTGCATTTTTCACTGACTGTCCACTGGCGCGTATTAATTTCTCCAATTCTGTTGCAAAATGTTTCTTAAACAGAAGCAAACGGAACAACTGGGAGGGACCTACTTGAATTTGTCCAATAGAAACTCTCGTTTTGCTCTGTTAGTTTCCGTTTGGTTCTTAAAAGGTATACGGTTTCTGTAATGAATACACCCCATGTCACAAATACAATGATTGATAGGCAGCTTAAACTTCTTCAATTCAACCATTATTGGGTTAAAATACACATACATTTGTGAACAGCCATCCACAACAACCACAATCTGTAAGGCACAAATATATGAGAGGGCAGTAGTGTGATTCACATTAATGCGCTATGTAGCCTAGATATCAATAATAAGTTAAATCCGTATCGCCCGTAGCAGTGGCGATTTTAGCTTGTAAATCTTGGTGGGGCAAACTCACAAATGTTTTGGGGATGCATGCCAGCAAAGCCACTACACAACACTAAACAATATATAAATTGCACTATGACGGTGACAAATGGTACCCACAAACTGTTAGGGCCATTAAACCCCTACAACTCATCCAGAATGCCGCAGCCCGTCTGGTGTTCAACCTTCCCAAGTTTTCTCACGTCACCCCCCTTCTCCACACACTCCACTGGCTTCCAGTTGAAGCTCGCATCCGCTACAAGACCATGGTGCTTGCCTATGGAGCAGTGAGGGGAACGGCACCTCTGTACCTTCGGGCTTTGATCAGTCCCTACACCCAAACGAGGGCATTGCGTTCATCCACCTCTGGCCTGCTGGCTCCCCTTCCTCTGCGGAAGCATAGTTCCCGCTCAGCCCAGTCAAAACTGTTCGCTGCTCTGGCACCCCAATGGTGGAAGAAGCTCCCTCACGACGCCAGGACAGCGGAGTCACTCACCACCTTCCGGAGACATTTGAAACCCCACCTCTTTAAGGAATACCTGGGATAGGATAAAGTAATCCTTCTACCCCCCCCCCCCCCCCCCCCAAAATTGTAAAGTGGTTATCCCACTGCCTATAGGGTGAATGCACCAATTTGTGAGTCGCTCTGTTTAAGAGCGTCTGCTAAATGACGTAAATGTGCCCTTGAGCAAGGCACTTAACCCTAATTGCTCCTGTAAGTCGCTCTGGATAAGAGCGTCTGCTAAATGACTAAAATGTAAATGTAATGTACATAAAGCTTTCCCAACAGCAGAGCTTTCTTTTCAGCACCATGGAGTGAATCCTTAGCTACACCTGGCTATCAGTGGAGCCTTGTCTGGCAGCGAAACAGTTCATTCATTTACTGCCTTTTTAAAAAACATAGCTGATATGACTGACTTGCTTAAACAAATGTGGTTTCTACTGACAATTGAGATGTGCAAACTATGGCATAAGGGAACAACGAGAGGATAAGATGCAATCCGTAATTTCGATTAAGAAATTAATGAGCGAGCTAGGACGGATGTAGTCAATATAACTATTTGTTCAGCACTTTTGAAATGTACAGCGACAGAATTCAGAACATGGGCTATACTTACAGTATTCTCCCTGTACACCAAGTCAGAACCGTAGGATAAATAAAGGGGGCATACAGTGGGGAAAATAAGTATTTAGTCAGCCACCAATTGTGCAAGTTCTCCCACTTAAAAAGATGAGAGAGGCCTGTAATTTTCACCATAGGTACACGTCAACTATGACAGACAAATTGAGGAAAAAAAATCCAGAAAATCACATTGTAGGATTTTTAATGAATTTATTTGCAAATTATGGTGGAAAATAAGTATTTGGTCACCTACAAACAAAAAAGATTTCTGGCTCTCACAGACCTGTAACTTCTTCTTTAAGAGGCTCCTCTATCCTCCACTCGTTACCTGTATTAATGGCACCTGTTTGAACTTGTTATCGGTATAAAAGACACCTGTCCACAACCTCAAACAGTCACACTCCAAACTCCACTATGGCCAAGACCAAAGAGCTGTCAAAGGACACCAGAGACAAAATTGTAGACCTGCACCAGGCTGGGAAGACTGAATCTGCAATAGGTAAGCAGCTTGGTTTGAAGAAATCAACTGTGGGAGCAATTATTAGGAAATAGAAGACATACAAGACCACTGATAATCTCCCTCGATCTGGGGCTCCACGCAAGATCTCACCCCGTGGGGTCAAAATGATCACAAGAACGGTGAGCAAAAATCCCAGAACCACACGGGGGGACCTAGTGAATGACCTGCAGAGAGCTGGGACCAAAGTAACAAAGCCTACCATCAGTAACACACTACGCCGCCAGGGACTCAAATCCTGCAGTGCCAGACGTGTCCCCCTGCTTAAGCCAGTACATGTCCAGGCCCGTCTGAAGTTTGCTAGAGTGCATTTGGATGATCCAGAAGAGGATTGGGAGAATGTCATATGGTCAGATGAAACCAAAATAGAACTTTTTGGTAAAAACTCAACTCGTCGTGTTTGGAGGACAAAGAATGCTGAGTTGCATCCAAAGAACACCATACCTACTGTGAAGCATGGGGGTGGAAACATCATGCTTTGGGGCTGTTTTTCTGCAAAGGGACCAGGACGACTGATCCGTGTAAAGGAAAGAATGAATGGGGCCATGTATCGTGAGATTTTGAGTGAAAACCTCCTTCCATCAGCAAGGGCATTGAAGATGAAACGTGGCTGGGTCTTTCAGCATGACAATGATCCCAAACACACCGCCCGGGCAATGAAGGAGTGGCTTCGTAAGAAGCATTTCAAGGTCCTGGAGTGGCCTAGCCAGTCTCCAGATCTCAACCCCATAGAAAATCTTTGGAGGGAGTTGAAAGTCTGTGTTGCCCAGCGACAGCCCCAAAACATCACTGCTCTAGAGGAGATCTGCATGGAGGAATGGGCCAAAATACCAGCAACAGTGTGTGAAAACCTTGTGAAGACTTACAGAAAACGTTTGACCTGTGTCATTGCCAACAAAGGGTATATAACAAAGTATTGAGAAACTTTTGTTATTGACCAAATACTTATTTTCCACCATAATTTGCAAATAAATTCATAAAAAATCCTACAATGTGATTTTCTGGATTTCTTTTCTCATTTTTTCTGTCATAGTTGACGTGTACCTATGATGAAAATTACAGGTCTCTCTCATCTTCTTAAGTGGGAGAACTTCACAATTGGTGGCTGACTAAATACTTTTTTCCCCCACTGTATAAGCAGACAATGAAAGCTCTTACAATATTCAATGATTACATTTATCTAAAACAGGCTGTAGGCTACATATGCACCACCAAGTCAGAACAGTAGACTAAGATATGAGGGGGAAAGGGACCAAATTATTACTACACAACATACACTTAGTATAACTTTCTTAGCTACAGTATACATATCTCCCTGGCATATTACAACATTTATGCAGCAGCATACAATACATTTTTGGACCTTGTTGTGCTGTGCTCACTTGAACAGGAAGGTGGCGCGGCGGTCCTTCGTGGCAAATTTTGAAATAAAAGTTTGTCATCAAAGTCTGGTATTCTCTGGATGTATGGTGCTTTCAAGACAACTGGGAACTCTGAAAAAAACATGTTCGAATCATGACGTCAGTGATCTTCAGGTCGGAGCTCTAGAAAGAGGCCAGAGTTCCCGACTTGGAATTCAGAGTTTGATGACCGTTCAAAACATATTTTCCCAGTCGGAGCTAATTTTTCCCAGTTGTCTTGAACTCACTGAAGTCTGAGATTTCCCAGTTCCGAGTTTCCAGTTGTTTTGAACGTGGCAGAAGTCATGCTGGATTGACAGCATAGCCAATGTATTCAACCTTTTCTGGCCCATGGCATGTAAATGATTATCCTTTTAAGCTTGGAAAAGAGACCCTTAAACCCAGACTTGGACCACACACTCACTCCACTGAATAGCAGGCTAGTGATTGCTTTGCATTGCTTGCAGTTAGCCACTGATTCCGTCCAAACCACTCATTGTTGAATTTGCGATTTCCAACTTGTTGTGTAATGTTTATGTCAAATGGCCGATAAGCACCGATACGTTTTATCTATAATTTATCTTCATATGAGAAGGATTGAAAAGGATTTGCCAGTAGATTCTCAACTTGATTCATGATGATTCATGATGATGACTGCTTGTCTAGCTTGCTAGCTAAGATTTTGAAAGTATGATGTTGACATGATCAGTCCAATCAAAGCTACGGTAGATATAAAGTGATTTGACGTCATTTTATCTGAGGCCAATGACCTTGAGCCTGGATGGGCACTTCTAATGTAAATCTATGGCAGCACCCAAGGGGCTTGAATTTTTTAGATCGCTCCGTAGATTTTGCAGTGACGTAGTGTCCCCATGAGTGACAGAACACTGAGCCAATCACGGCACAACTGGAGAACATTACCAACCCCTACGCTCTGTATTTTCCGCTGGCTGGCCCACCACCACAGAAAGCACTGAGCTAGGCTGAAACGGCTGCATTTTGGAGCTGTCTTACTCAAGAAAGCAAAAAAGAGACCATGTTTGTATACGACTTTATTAACTCAATGTTTTTTTTTTTTTTTTACATTGTTTGCAAACTGATATTGACACGTATTAATGCCAAAATGACATGCAAAACAGGGCAAAAATATTGGGTTTATTTTAATTTTAATATTATTATTATTATTTTTATTTTTTGCCCCACCTGCCCTGAATAATGTGTCGCCACTGGCCCTTAGGCTATACTGCTGTCGTCCTTACCTCCAAGCGTTTATTCAAGATGGATAATCTTTGGATGCCGACAGCAGTTGCACCATTGGAAGACATCGTTTGGACTGTAGCCTACAAAAGCTCCAGATCCATCAAACACATTTGGTGTGTCAGGTAGCTTAGTGGTTAAGAGCGTTGTGCCAGTAACCGAAAGGTTGCTGGTTCTAATCCCCGAGCCGACTAGGTGAAAAATCTGTCGATGTGCCCTTGAGCAAGGCACTTAACCCTAATTGCTCATGTAAGTCGCTCTGGATAAGAGCGTCTGCTAAATTACAAAAATGTAATGTCATAGTGGTCTCTGATTTGTGGTCAGACACGCTCAGGCGGAACAAACTTTTTTTTTAAACTTGCGCCTTTTTTCAATGCTGATTTGAATGTCATTGCGAAAACAGAAAGGTGTCAAATCATTTTTGCTCAAACATCCTTTCTAAAAAGCAATCCTAGAAGTTAAAAAAAATATTGTTTTTGATTGGATTTTCCTTTTAAGGTTAAGTGTGTGGCCTTCTGGGTTGGGGTCCATTCCATTTAAATTCAGAAAGTAAACCAATTTCCAATTCCAATTCCAAATGGTCCTCAATGAAAAGCATTGAAGATCATTGAAATTTCAGTGTACTTCCTGAATTGACTGGAATTTAAATGGAATTGACCCCAACCCAGGTGGCCGTGTTCGAAACCTGTCTTGCCTACTACTTACAAAAACTGCATGCTGTGTACTAATCATACTACATACTATTTACAACGTACGGTTTAGTCCCCTTACCTCATTATCAGCTGACTATCAGCTGTTGTCAAACCAACGTGAGTCTGGAATGACGATTCCTTTCCTCAAAACTGTGCAGTGAATTCTAGATGAAAAGCTGAAATGAGTATAACATCCTGGCGTTTAAAGCATACTCGATTTTCGAAATTTCACATACTATAAAATGTTATATTTCAGCATACCTAAAATGCTTACTATTTAGAAACCAAATATGGGTATTCGGACACGGCCTGTGTGTGTGTGTGTGTGTGTGTGTGTGTGTGTGTGTGTGTGTGTGTGTGTGTGTGTGTGTGTGAGAGAGAGAGAGAGACCCTCCAACCCAAAAAGGCCTGTGGTGTTGATGGTATCCTCAATGAAATGATAAAATATACAGACCACAATTGGACCACAAATTCCAATTGGCTATACTTAAACTCTTTAACATCATCCTTAGCTCTGGCATCTTCCCCAATATTTGGAACCAAGGACTGATCACGCCAATCCACAAAAGTGGAGACAAATTTGACCCCAATAACTACCTGTGATGGGTGATTTGAAGGAGTCAGGCGCAGGAGGGTAAATCACAGAATACAGAGTTTATTCCGGAATACAGAGTTATGCAGGATAGCGTCAAACAGTCCAGTACGCAAAACAGGCGCACTGGAGCATAACAGGCACACAGGGAAAATATACCCCGGCAATACAAAATACATGTAGCTCAACCGAGCTACTCTCTCCTCACATTAAACAATCACCCACAAGGACAAGGGGGCAGAGGGAACACTTATAAACGTACTAATGAGGGGATATGAACCAGGTGTGTGTAATAGACAAGACAAAACAAATGGAATGATGAGATAGGATGCGGCAGTGGCTAGAAGGCCGGTGATGACGAACGCCGAAGCCTGCCCGAACAAGGAGAGGAGGCAGCTTCGGAGGAAGTCGTGACAGTACCCCCCCCTTGACGCGCAGCTCCAGCAGCGCGCCGACACCGGCCTCGGGGACGGCCAGGAGGACGCGGAGCAGGGCGAGCCGGATGGCGACGGTGGAAATCCCGCAACAGGGAGGGATCGAGGATATCCTTCACCGGGACCCAGCACCGTTCCTCCGGACCGTACCCCTCCCACTCCACGAGGTACTGAAGGCACCCCACCTGACGCCTCGAATCTAGGATGGAACGGACGGAGTACGCCGGGGCCCCCTCGATGTCCAGAGGAGGCGCAGGGACTCTGTGACGTATGTCTCCATAGCCTCCTTTTCAGCCTGTGACAGGGGAAACACATGACTCCTGGAGGCACAGCGTCTACCCAGAGGTTTAACCGCCCAATGAGGTGGTAACTTGGTCGCCAGCATTTTGGAAAACGCGTGCGCCAAATCGAGGTATTCGGGGGGAATGCGCACGGTGGAGTTACTGTCTGGACTTTCCACCGTTGTTGCACCAACGGAAACACTGAGACACCTACCCTGACAGTCTCGCAACCACCCCGTGAGAACCCTCTGCGGCCATGAGAAGGTGGGGTTGTGGAGTGCTAACCAAGGAATACCTAATACAACAGGGAAAGCAGGAGACTCAATAATACAAAAAAAGTGACTTGCTCGTGATGAGTCTCGTGGGTAACCATAGTGACTGGTGCTGTAACTTCCCTAACAAACCCGGATCCTAATGGTTGACTGTCAGGTGCTCTGATGGGGAGTGGAATAGATAGGGGAACCAATGAAATGCCTAGACTGTGTGAGAATGACCTGTCCATAAAGTTCCCAGCTGCGCCTGAATCGACTAGCGCCTTACACTGGGGAACTACAATGTGATTAGGAAAGTGGATGGGTAGGGTACAGTGCGCAGCAGAGGGCTCTGAACGAGTGTGGGTGTTCGATACCTGGGGTGACGCGAGAATGTCCTGCCTGCCACCTCCGGACCCAAAAGAACGCTGACGACATTGTGCGGTGAAATGTCCTCTCGTGCCACCAGAGTGACACTGGCGCTGTCGTCCTCCGCTGTCTCGAATCGCCGCTCCACCCAGCTCCATCAGCTCATGATCCGAGTCGGGCGGGGTTGGAATGGGCAGACCCCCTCCAGGATGTCCTCGGGCCGCCAGCAGGTTGTCCAAGTGGATGGCCATGTCCACCAGTTAAGTGAAGTACAACATGGTGTCCCGGCAGGCTAGCTCCCTTCGGAGGTCCTCCCGCAGATGGCACCGGAAGTGGTCGATGAGGGCCCGGTCATTCTACCCGGACCCAGCTGCAAGAGTCCGGAACTCCAGGGCGAAGTCCTGCGCGGTCCTCGTCCCCTGCCTCAGGTGGACCAGCCGCTCGCCCGCCTCTCGACCCTCGGGCGGATGATCGAAGACAGCCCGAAAGAGGTGAGCGAACCCCCCCGTAGTTGTCCAACGCGGCTCCTCCTTCATTCCAGACCACGTTGGCCCACTCCAGGGCTTTCCCCGAGAGGCAGGAGACGAGGGCGGACACCTTATCCCGCTCCGATGGGGCCGGGCTGATGCTGGAATAATAGAGCTCCAGTTGGAGGAGGAATCCTTGGCAGAGAGCAGCTGTCCCGTCGAAATCCCTTGGTCAGGATATATGGATCCCTCTGGGTGCCTGGGTGTGGGTGGCTGGATCCGGTCGCCCAGCTGGTCACGACAGATCGGGTCCTCTCCTCTCCAGGCGTTGGATGACCTGGAGAACCCGATTGGTGGGTGATTCTGTGATGGGTGATTTGAAGGAGTCAGGCGCAGGAGGGTAAATCACAGAATACAGAGTTTATTCCGGAATACAGAGTTACGCAGGATAGCGTCAAACAGGCACACAGGGAAAATATACCCCGGCAATACAAAATACATGTAGCTCAACCGAGCTACTCTTTCCTCACATTAAACAATCACCCACAAGAACAAGGGGGCAGAGGGAACACTTATACACATACTAATGAGGGGATATGAACCAGGTGTGTGTAATAGACAAGACAAAACAAATGGAATGATGAGATAGGATGCGGCAGTGGCTAGAAGGCCGGTGACGATGAACGCTGAAGCCTGCCCGAACAAGGAGACGAGGCAGCTTCGGAGGAAGTCGTGACACTACCGTGGGATATGCGTCAACAGCAACCTTGGGAAAACCCTCTGCATTATCATTAACAGCAGAGTAGTTCATTTCCTCAGTGAAAACAATGTACTCAGCAAATGTCAAATTGGTTAAATTGGTTAAAAATCAAAATTACCGTATGACAGACCACGTATTTACCCTGCACACCCTAATTGACAAATAAACAAACCAAAACAAAGGCAAAGTCTTCTCATGCGTTGTTGATTTCAAAAAAGCTTTTGACTCAATTTGACATGAGGGTCTGCTATACAAATTGATGGAAAGTGGGGTTGGGGGAAAAACATACAACATTATAAAATCCATGTACACAAACAACAAGTGTGCGGTTAAAATTGGCAAAAAACACACACATTTCTTTCCACAGGGCCGTGGGGTGAGACAGGGATGCAGTTTAAGCCCCACCCTCTTCAACATATATATCAACGAATTGGTGAGGGCACTAGAACAGTCTGCAGCACCCGGCCTCACCCTACTAGAATCTGAAGTCAAATGTCTACTGTTTGCTGATGATCTGCTGCTTCTGTCACCAACCAAGGAGGGCCTACAGTATCACCTAGATATTCTTAGACCTGGGCCCTGACAGTAAATCTCAGTAAGACACAAATAATGGTGTTCCAAAAAAGGTCCAGTTGCCAGGACCACAAATAAAAATTCCATCTAGACACCGTTGCCCTAGAGCACACAAAAACTATACATACCTCGGCCTAAACATCAGCGCCACAGGTAACTTCCACAAAGCTGTGAACGATCTGAGAGACAAGGCAAGAAGGGCCTTTCTCTGCCATCAAAAGGAACATAAAATTCGACATACCAATTAGGATCTGGCTAAAAATACTTGAATCAGTTATAGAACCCATTGACCTTTATGGTTGTGAGGTCTGGGGTCCGCTCACCAACCAATAATTCACAAAATGGGACAAACACCAAATTGAAACTCTGCAAAAATATCCTCAGTGTATAACGAAAAACAGCAAATAATGCATGCAGAGCAGAATTAGGCCGATACTCGCTAATTATCAAAATCCAGAAAAGAGCCGTTAAATTCTATAACCACTTAAAAGGAAGCGATTCCCAAACCTTCCATAACAAAGCCATCACCTACAGAGAGATGAACTTGGAGAAGAGTCCCCTAAGTAAGCTGGTCATGGGACTCTGTTCACAAACACAAACAGACCCCACTGAGCCCCAGGACAACAACAACAACACAGTTAGACCCAACCAAATCATGAGAAAACAAAAAGAGAATTACTTGACACATTGGAAAGAATTAACAAAAAAACAGAGCAAATTAGAATGCTATTTGGCCCTAAACAGAGAGTACACAGTGGCAGAATACCTGACCACTGTGAAAGCTTTGACTATGTACAGACTCAGTGAGCATAGCCTTGCTATTGAGAAAGGCCGCCGTAAAATGAGGTGGAAACTGAGCTGTACTTCCTAACCTCCTGCCAAATGTATGACCATATTAGAGACACATATTTCACTCAGATTATACAGATCCACAAAGAATTCGAAAACAAACCCAATTTTGATAAACTCCCTTATCTACTGGTAGAAATACCACGGTGTGTGCCATCACAGCAGCAATATTGAAATACAACCCATATTTATGTTTATTTATTTTCCCATTTGTACTTTAACTATTTGCACATTGTTACAACACTGTATATATACAGTGGTGGTCAAACGTTTTGAGAATGACACAAGTATTGGTCTTCACAAAGTTTGCTGCTTCAGTGTTTTTAGATATTTTTGTCAGATGTTACTATGGTATACTGAAGTATAATTATAAGCATTCCATAAGTGTCAAAGGCTTTTATTGACAATTACATAAAGTTTATGCAAAAAGTCAATATTTGCAGTGTTGACCCTTCTTTTTCAAGACCTCTGCAATCCGCCCTGGCATGCTGTCAATTAACTTCTGGGCCACATCCTGACTGATGGCAGCCCATTCTTGCATAATCAATGCTTGGAGTTTGTCAGAATTTGTGGGTTTTTGTTTGTCCACCCGTCTCTTGAGGATTGACCACAAATTCTCAATGGGATTAAGGTCTGGGGAGTTTCCCGGCCATGGACCCAAAATTTCGATGTTTTGTTCCCAGAGCCACTTAGTTATCACTTTTGCCTTATGGCAAGGTGCTCCATCATGCTTGAAAAGGCATTGTTCGTCACCAAAATGTTCTTGGATGGTTGGGAGAAGTTGCTCTCGGAGGATGTGTTGGTACCATTCTTTATTCATGGCTGTGTTCTTAGGCAAAATTGTGAGTGAGCCCACTCCCTTGGCTGAGAAGCAACCCCACACATGAATGGTCTCAGGATGCTTAACTGTTGGCATGACACAGGACTGATGGTAGTGCTCACCTTGTCTTCTCCAGACAAGCTTTTTTTCCGGATGCCCCAAACAATTGGAAAGGGGATTCATCAGAGAAAATGACTTTACACCAGTCCTCAGCAGTCCAATCCCTGTACCTTTTGCAGAATATCAGTCTGTCCCTGATGTTTTTCCTGGAGAGAAGTGGCTTATTTTCTGCCCTTCTTGACACCAGGCCATCCTCTGAAAGTCTTCGCCTCACTGTGCGTGCAGATGCACTCACACCTGCCTGCTGCCATTCCTGAGCAAGCTCTGCACTGGTGGTGCCCCGATCCCGCAGCTGAATCAACTTTAGGAGATGGTCCAGGCTTCCAATCTGTTATTCTAACTCAATCAGCATGACAGAGTGATCTCCAGCCTTGTCCTCGTCAACACTCTCACCTGTGTTAACGAGAGAATCACTGACATGATGTCAGCTGGTCCTTTTGTGGCAGGGCTGAAAAAAAAATGTTCATGGCAAAGAGAGACTTTGCAATTAATTGCAATTAATCTGATCACTCTTCATAACATTCTGGAGTATATGCAAATTGCCATCATAAAAACTGAGGCAGCAGACTTTGTGAAAATTAATATTTGTGTCATTCTCAAAACTTTTGACCACGACTGTACAGAATATGACATTTGAAATGTCTTTATTCTTTTGAAACTTCTGAGTGTAATCTTTACTGTTAATATTTATTGTTTATTTCACTTTTGTTTACTATCTACTTCACTTGCTTTGGCAATGTTAACATGCGTTTCCCATGCCAATAAAGCCCTTAAATTGAATTGAATTGAATTGAGAGAGAGAGAGATGAAAAAGAGAGGGGGGTGTGGGTAATGGTGGGGTCAGTCCTCTCACACTCTACCCTCACTAAAATAACCTGGCCAAGTGGAAACATCTGCCCTGCCTGAGCCCCTACCTCAGGCTCTCCCTACTCCTCTCTAGGCATTTCTCTCTCTTTGTATCTCCCTAGCCTTTGGTAACTGTTATCTCATCCCTTGAGTGTAATCAGATATACAGCTGCTCATGCCACTGGCTCTCCTTAGACTCTGCTGGTACTGTTGGTATTGGTCTGCAGCTCATTGACTCAAGCCAACACTGAAGCTTTTAAGATCGAACAATACAATTGCCACACTCCCTTTGTCTGGGAGTGTAATCCATCCGGCCAAAGCATGAGGAATTACTGAATTACAGTCAGGAACCAGTACATTGACTCTATGCTCTTTCCTCTGCAGAGCTCTTCATTGAGCGTTTCTGTATGACGGGTGGGAACAGTCCCATTGGGTACCTGAAGGCTTACCACACTAACCTGTACCTGTCTGCTGACCCCATGAAGGTCAGAGAGGCCCTGGAGGAGGGTAAGTGGACAGAGAGCATAGTCTTGTTAGTTACACTCTAAGAAAAAACAGCCGAAGAACCCTTTTCTCTAAGAGTGTACTGTCCGTCTCATCGATGGACACTTTGATCTGTCTCGTAACACTGTTATCTAGTTGTTTAATACAGTGAAAGAAGCTTACGTTGATCAAGTGATACTGAGTAATCTCCCTCTGTCTCTCTCTCTCTCTCTCTCCCTCTCTCTCTCCCTTGATCTCTGTCTCTCTCCCTTTATCTCTGCCTCTCTATCTCTCTCTCAGGGATCGCGGCAGCCACAATGTTTAACCCACCAGAGAAGAGAACAGAAGTGTCAGAGACTCAGCTGCGGGTGGCCTTCGATGGGGATGCAGTGCTCTTCTCTGACGAGTCAGAGCGCATCTTTAAGGCCCACGGACTGGACAAGTTCTTTGAGCATGAGAAGGCACACGAAAACACGCTTCTTGATCATGTATGTCCACGTATCATTCCATAACACATTAAATCACAAATGGATATGCAGCAAAATCTAAATAGTTTGTATATTGACAAAGCAATATCCCTCTGTAATTCATATGGATTAAGGAATCTAGTGCGGGCAGAAGAGGTTTGGTGTCTCTGTAGATTTACTGTAGATTTAAGTGACACATGTTCAGTGTTCAGGCCCATCGTGCAGCAACTCCCTCTCTCTCCCTCTCTCTTCCTCTCAGGGACCACTGAAAGGGTTCCTGGAGTCTCTGGGGAAGCTGCAAAAGAAGTTCTATGCCAAGGGTCAGCGTCTGGACTGCCCCATCCGTACCTACCTGGTGACGGCACGCAGCGCAGCCAGCTCAGGCACCCGGGCCCTGAAGACACTGCGATCCTGGGGCCTGGAGACAGACGAGGCCCTCTTTCTTGCTGGGGCCCCTAAGGGGCCAATGCTGGAGAAGATCCGGCCTCACATATTCTTTGACGATCAGATGTTCCATGTGGAGGGAGCGGCGCAGCTGGGGACCGTGGCAGCTCATGTGCCATATGGTGTGGCTCAGAAACTGCCCCAGAAGAAGCCTGCTAAGGAGAACGCTAAAGACTTTAGCGCTGCCACCAAGTAGTCTGGATTTTGCTCTCTTCCCTAACCCTGTGATGGCAAGGGACAATAAAACAGCATTGTGGATTTGAATGAGACAGTCCTTTTCAGTGCCCTCAGTTTTCTGGGGAGAGAAGCACATGACAATGGGAGGAGTATAGAGGGAGAGCATGCTGTCACATGTCATGTGAGCGATGATTCATCAAAAGAGAAGGTGCCAGTAGATGTAAAACAAAAACGTCAAATATTGTATGCCCAAAAAGTGCTGTACATACATATCCAGGGTCTTGACCTACAGAGGTAAAATAACTGGAATTGTATCTAATTAACTCTGTCAGACCAGGAAAAATACAATTTTACATGAGAGTACAGCAATTCCTCAAATAGAATCTGCACACAATTACAAGGAGGTCTATCGCCATTCCTACAATAATGTTGGAATAATACTGTGAAATTGTGAAAATTATAATGCCCTTTTAGTGTCAGAACTGTTTGAAAAGACTGCCTGTCCTAGCAAAATTCTTGTTTGAGAAATGTCTCTTTGCTAAGAAGCTATTTTTGTTTCATTTTAATTGAAAACAATCACAGTAAGGTACTTAATTGTTACCCAGAAATGATTTGATATTGAGATGGAAATGGCTGCATTGGACCTTTACCATAGCATTAAAGGTCCAAAAACTAACATTTACATCCAAACATCAACCCAAATATAGGCTATACAATATTTATAGAGTTTACACATCTGTGAATTGTAGCAACAACATGATGAAACTGCAGAACCAAAACATTTATAGATACATTGTATTGTATTATATTATACATATTTGGCGATACAGTATTTGTAACATTGAGGGGGAGGGGTGTTTATAAACCTACAGTAGACTGTACCTGTATCATTTCAGTATATCACATTTATCTTAGGTTGAAAAGTTTACAGAATATGTATTGCATGTTATTGACGTCATTGTTTGTTCTAGTCTTTTGTTTCTAATCTAGGCAACTTTTATGAATTGCCTTCGGTGTATTTTTGCATGCTCCTCATGCAAGTTACTGTATGTGCTGTATGGCTGCGTTTACACAGGTAACCCAATTTTCCACTAATTGGTCTTTTAACCAATCACATCAGATCTTTTCATATCAGCTATTTTTCAGAGCTGATCTGATTGGTCAAAAGACCAAGTGAAAACAATATCAGAATTGGGCTGCTTATTTTCAGTTGTTGTTTATGGTAGAGTAATGGGCCTCACTTACACCCTATCCGACTAACTAATGTCGTAGAGAAAGAGGTAGGTGAAGTGGTGAAATTAGCTGGGTTCATTGGAAATGGTAGATTGTTAATCTTGTGTGGTAGCCAGGCTCCGCAAGAGAGGATTCTGAAAATGGAAAAGCTTAATGGGAAGAAGATTAAAAGCCATGTCCCTGGTGCTTACACTAGATTGAGGGGAGTCATCACTGGGGTCCTAATATCTATGTCCATAGATGATATTAAAGAAAATGTGAAGGGAGGCAGAGTGATTGAGGCCAAAAGGTTTATCAGTAGGAAAGCCGGTCAAAGAAGTGAAAGGTTATCAGTGATGCTGAGGTTTGAGAAAGTCTTGCCGGGAAAAGTACAGATAGGATTCCTTCATTTCAATATTCGAGAATTTATCCCATATGCACTGCGGTGTTATAAATGCCAAAGAATGGGACAAGTAGCTGTTCAGTTTAAAGGAAATAAAAGATGTGTCAAGTGTGGAGGGGCACATGATTACGGTGAATGTGGAAGCAATGTGAAGGTTAAGTGCTGTAATTGTGGGGGAGAACACAGTGCAGCATTTGGTGGATGCCAGGTGCAGAGAGATGCTCAGAGATAAAGGATCAGTCAAGATGTATCATATGCAGAGACCGTAAAATAGATTGGTAGAACTACTGTGTGGACTGATGGAGCTTACATGGATGTACCTGTAGTAAGTGGACCTACTGTCGGGGCTGGTGCTTCTGATGGTCCTGGCATGGTTTCGAGGCCTGTTCAGAAATCTTGTGCTCATGAATGTGCGGTGACAAAGGACACTTTGATAATGAATAAAGTTGACTTCATAGCTTTTATTGGTACGTTTATCAATACGACTCGAATTGTGGAAAGCAGAAATGCCAGGTTGAAGGCAAAAGAGATATTGGGGGTAAGAGATGTTACTGTTGAAATTGTGGTTGACATGCTGATGTCGTAATGTAACTTACTTTAATGTATTGACTGTTATTTATCTAATCAACTATGTTTAATTGTCACTCGATTAAATTAATCATGTAACAATTAACTCATTAGGAATTTGGGGCACCACGGAATAAGTTATTTAACGAGTTACCATCTCCCGAAATTAAACTCTTAGAAGATATATGTTATATATCGATAACAGTCACTTATCAAATAATTACCTTATCAGTCTCATTCTGAACGTCGCATAATCCTTGAACCTACAAAAACCCTAACCTTATTGATGAATCAGCAATACACAAATTGGCTTAATTATTTATTTACTAACTAAATAATAACACAATACAAACACACACACACACACACACACACACACACACACACAGGTTATTGATTACTAACATAATACAATGAGAACAGGTCCCTAGTGGACTGGACTAACAATAGCATGAATGCTTGGGTAGAAGGAGGGGTCAGAATGGAAGGGAGAGACAGAGATTCAAACTATCGTAGTTACTTTGGAAACTACGCTCACAGTAATCATAATACTTATGCACCCTAATAAATCGCTCATTCAGATGTACCAGCGGTTATCTGAGAGGGATTGTCCTTCCCACGTCGTGTCTTTAGTGAAAGTTCTCTAGACGACATATACATGCCAGCTGCAGACTGAAATGATAAGGTCTAGTGCATTGTCTTCTTCTTCACCTCGTGTAGAGATTGAGAGTTTCAGAGTTTCTCCATTTCAAATGTGTGGACTAATGTCTCACGTTTTCTGGTCTTTCTGGTCTAACCATTTTGTAATGTGTAGCTTCAGCTTCACGCTTCTTGGTCTTGTAGAAATTCAACCATTTGCAACATCCGGCTTATACCGTAGTATGCTTGGTCTTCCTTTGGTAATGGAGTTGTAGTTTTAAACCATTTTGTAACATTTAGTTCACGCTTCACATCTGCTGGTCTTGTAGAGTTTTTTCCCATTTTTTATTTTTTTTATTTTTTTATTAAAACAGTAACATGTAAAACACTAAAAAACAGAACAGCCAGAGGGATTACACAAATAAATAAGGAAGAGAGAAAAAATTAATAATAATAATAATACAAATCCACATTATATCAAATCAAATACGTAACGAATGTTTTGTATACGTTTTAATGATGCTAAATAGTTTTCCAAATCGGATATTATTTTTTTAAAGGGCCTTTTTCTTCCTAAATTTTGATTTGTGTATGAAACATTTTCCTAATAAAATAAAGAGATTTATGATATGCTGATGTTCAATTGTGGAATCAGTGTAGTACAAGAATGTCAAATGTAGATATTTCAATGGTTGTATGCATTTTGTTGCCAAGATATACAGTGGGGAAAAAAAGTATTTAGTCAGCCACCAATTGTGCAAGTTCTCCCACTTAAAAAGATGAGAGAGTTGTAATTTTCATCATAGGTACACGTCAACTATGACAGACAAAATGAGAAAAAAAAATCCAGAAAATCACATTGTAGGATTTTTAATGAATTTATTTGCAAATTATGGTGGAAAATAAGTATTTGGTCAATAACAAAAGTTTCTCAATACTTTGTTATATACCCTTTGTTGGCAATGACACAGGTCAAACGTTTTCTGTAAGTCTTCACAAGGTTTTCACACACTGTTGCTGGTATTTTGGCCCATTCCTCCATGCAGATCTCCTCTAGAGCAGTGATGTTTTGGGGCTGTCGCTGGGCAACGCGGACTTTCAACTCCCTCCAAAGATTTTCTATGGGGTTGAGATCTGGAGACTGGCTAGGCCACTCCAGGACCTTGAAATGCTTCTTACGAAGCCACTCCTTCGTTGCCCGGGCGGTGTGTTTGGGATCATTGTCATGCTGAAAGACCCAGCACGTTTCATCTTCAATGCCCTTGCTGATGGAAGGAGGTTTTCACTCAAAATCTCACGATACATGGCCCCATTTATTCTTTCCTTTACACGGATCAGTCGTCCTTGTCCCTTTGCAGAAAAACAGCCCCAAAGCATGATGTTTCCACCCCCATGCTTCACAGTAGGTATGGTGTTCTTTGGATGCAACTCAGCATTCTTTGTCCTCCAAACACGACGAGTTGAGTTTTTACCAAAAAGTTCTATTTTGGTTTCATCTGACCATATGACATTCTCCCAATCCTCTTCTGGATCATCCAAATGCACTCTAGCAAACTTCAGATGGGCCTGGACATGTACTGGCTTAAGCAGGGGGACACGTCTGGCACTGCAGGATTTGAGTCCCTGGCGGCGTAGTGTGTTACTGATGGTAGGCTTTGTTACTTTGGTCCCAGCTCTCTGCAGGTCATTCACTAGGTCCCCCCGTGTGGTTCTGGGATTTTTGCTCATCATTCTTGTGATCATTTTGACCCCACGGGGTGAGATCTTGCGTGGAGCCCCAGATCGAGGGAGATTATCAGTGTCTTCCATTTCCTAATAATTGCTCCCACAGTTGATTTCTTCAAACCAAGCTGCTTACCTATTGCAGATTCAGTCTTCCCAGCCTGGTGCAGGTCTACAATTTTGTTTCTGGTGTCCTTTGACAGCTCTTTGGTCTTGGCCATAGTGGAGTTTGGAGTGTGACTGTTTGAGGTTGTGGACAGGTGTCTTTTATACTGATAACAAGTTCAAACAGGTGCCATTAATACAGGTAACGAGTGGAGGACAGAGGCGCCTCTTAAAGAAGAAGTTACAGGTCTGTGAGAGCCAGAAATCTTGCTTGTTTGTAGGTGACCAAATATTTATTTTCCGCCATAAATTGCAAATAAATTCATTAAAAATCCTACAATGTGATTTTCTGGATTTCTTTTTCTCAATTTGTCTGTCATAGTTGACGTGTACCTATGATGAAAATTACAGGCCTCTCTCATCTTTTTAAGTGGGAGAACTTGCACAATTGGTGGCTGACTAA